AACCAAGCACATCACGTTGGAGCCTCTCAGCTCAAAGAAGACTGTTTATCTCCCCCCTACAATCCAAGGAGGATAGTCCTCGGGTTATAGAAATTCTTCTTGAAGAGAGAAGCGAGTTTGTTCCAGTGTCCTAGCCAATATTTCCCCCCACAACCCACAAAATAAAATTTTGTCAATGACTTTGATAGTGCTGCATGCAAATCAACTACTGTGTTTGCCAACAAAATGCACAAGTCTACAGTGAATTGGGTAAAGCACTGGTTTTGATCACCGCCCAACGTGAAAGGTACTGCAGGAAATGCGAGGAGTATTAGCTGTGAAGTCGGTTCATGCATTCGACTGCCAATTAGTAGCTTTTGGCCTTTTTAACTGAAAAAAAATAATTATCCTTGCATTGGATATAGAGTTTTATCATGCCGCTGAGACGGTTCAAAGCGCTTCACATATATATTGGAAAATGGTTTGACTGTGTATTTTGTGGGTGAAACACAGCAACCAGCTGCACACAGCAATGTCCCATGAAGTGAATGACCAATTTTATCTGGGGGATTGTGTGTGAGCTCAAAGCCCTGATGTGGTAGCTTGTAGCTTGAACCCACAACTTTCCAACTCACACTACAGTGCTACTATCTGAGCCAGGTTGACAAATGCCAAGGGTGGGGGCGGGGGGGTGGGGGAGAACGGTAATAATAATAATCCTTGCATTTGATATAGCGCCTTTCTCATCTTCTAGACGTCCCAAAGCGCTTTACAGAATACACTGTGAAGTGAATTGACTGTATATTTGTGGGTAAACGCGGCAGCCAATTGCGCACAGCAGTGTCCCACAAACAGTCGCAGAATGAAAATGACCAATTTATTATTGTTTTGTTTTGGAGGGATAGGTCTGGGATCCTCCAGCACAGTCAGCACTCACTTCACTTTTGGTAAACAGCCCATTAATCTCCTTATGTATTGGAGGGATAAGAAGGAAATGAGATCTACTCTGTGAGTTTGGTAGGAGGCAGAACAAAAACAAATGTACATCTGTATGTCAGGAGGATGTCCCAAGGGGCTGGACAGTCAAGGGTTTGCACTTGAGCAGGGGGGTGGGAGGGATGGGAGGGGGATCCACGAATGGTGGGGAAAGATGATCAAAAGTGTGGTCAGAGGAATGTCTTGAGACAGACCTTGAAGAAGGAGAGAAGAGTGAAATGTAGCTCCTGGGTCTCCAGGATGGGGTGGGGGCAGATTGGCTGAATACCTGATTGACGTTGCTTGGGCAAGCAGGGCTGGGACATGAACCACAGGAGAAGCCACTCAGCTGCAGCATCAAAACTAAGTCACACTTACTATAACAACAACTGCCAGCAATTATATGGGGCCCAACACACTGGATAACGTCTGATAACGTTTCGCCCACAAAATACACAGTCAATTCACTTTACAGTATATTCTGTGAAGCGCTTTGAGACTTCTCAAATAATTGATAGGGCACTATATCAGATGCAATGATCATTATTAATATTATTATTCACAGAGGGTTATTTTACTCACACAGTGAACCTACCAGGCTGGCAGTAAAGGTCCCAGCAAATAGGAAAGTGGAGTTAAATCTAATTGCTGGATAGCTCGGGCCAAATGGTTCCACATGCCTGATGGGATCGATTGATTAGTTAGTGTCCTGGAGCTATCGGACAAGCTCAACAACCCCCCACTCCCAACCCCATCCACTTGCCGTCCTCTCCCTGGCTAGTCCCACATCCAGCTTTAAAACAAACATGCCGGGTAATAGTGATATAATGGGCCCAGTGTCCTGGCCAACAAACTCCCGAATAAAATTGGTCATTTACTTCACAGCTGTTAGTGGCCCATTGCTGTGAGCAAATTGGCCGGCACATTCGCCTCCAAAATAAACAGTCGCTACACTTCAAAGTATATCCCGTGAAGCACTGTGAGACATGCTCCCGATGTGAAAGACGCTGCATCAAATGTATGAATTATTATAATGCAGGGATTATTATAAAAATATTTTTAAAAGCCCTACATGAACTATTTGCAGTCAAGGGATCACTGGAGGGGTGAGCAGAGGAGGTGATTGGAGAATCAGGGAAGTGTACTAGGGCGTTAAGCAAGTTACTGTTGATTAGATAGTAAATGGTGAGGAGGATAGTTGCAGACTGCAAGAGGATATAGTCAGACTGGTAAAATGGGCAGAAACGTGGCAGATGGAGTTTAATGTGGAGAAATGCGAAGTGATGCCTTTTGGGAGGAAGAATGAGGAGAGGCAATATAAGCTGATGGTACAATCTTAAAGGGGGAGAAGTTAACAGAGAGACCTGGGGGTCATATAAGTAAATCTTTGAAGGTGGCAGGAGAGGTAGATAAAGCTGTTAAAAAGCATACGGGATACTAGGCTTTATAAACAGGGGCATAGAATAGAAAAGTCAGGAAGTTATGATGAACTTTATAAAACACTGGTTAGGCCTCAGCGAGAGACTGTGTTCAGTTCTGGGCACCACACTTTAGGAAGGATGTCAAGGCATTGGAGAGGGAGCAAAGGAGATTTACCAGGATGGTACCAGGAATGAGAAACTTCAGTTATCAGGAGAGGCGAGAGAAGCTGGGATTATTCTCCTTGCAACAGAGAAGGTTAAGAGGAGACTTAATAGAAGTTTTCAAAATCATGAGGGGATTCAATAGGGTGAACGAGGAGAAACTATTTCCACTGGTGGGTGGGTCGGTAACCTGAGGACACCGATTTAATAGAGTTGTTAAAAGAAACAGAGGGGAGGTGAGGAGAATTTTTTTTCACACAGCGAGTTGTTTCGATCTGGAATGCATTGCCTGAAAGGGTGGTGGAAGCCGATTCAATAACTTTTAAGAGAGAAATAGATCCTTATTTGGGGAGGACACGTTTGCAGGGCTATAGGGAGAGAGCGAGGGAGTGGGATTGATTTGGATAGCTCTTTTCGAAGAGCCGGCACAGACACGATGGGCCAATTGGCTTCCTTCTCTGCTGTATAAATCTATGATTCTATGGTAGCCGGCTTGCCAGGTTGCTGGGCGGGGAGGGGGGGAGGGAGGAAGAAGGAGAGAGAACTGCAGCTCAGTGGTTAGAGCACTCGCCTCGCAAGCAAAAGACCTGGGTTGGATTCCCGGGAAGGGCGAAATGTTGGGCAAGTTTCCTTACTCCAAACGCCTCTGTTTACCCAGCAGCAAGTAGGAACCATGTTGTTAGTCGATTGGTGGATCGCTTTTCCGGGATAACAATCCTTCAAAAAAAACTATAATAAATTGGTCACTTTAATCCACGACTGTTTGTGGGACACTGCTGTGCGCAATTGGCTGCCGCGTTTCGCCCACAAAATACAGTCACTTTACAGTATATTCCGTGAAGCGCTTTAAGAAGATGTGAAGACGTGAAAAGCGCTATATCAAATGCAAGGATTATTATTATTATTATCGCTCGAATTCCAGTAAAGTCACAGGTGCTTGGGTCAAAACTATAGCAAGGTTGGCAGCCTCAATGCTCTGGTGGTGCTATTTGTAGTAAAGTCTGTCCTGGGTGGAATCTGGTGTCTGGTGAATCACGGTGTCCTTGATTTCCACTCAAGTGCCCATTACCTTTCCACTGCGCCTCCCCACAGCAACAACGGAAAGGGAAGCGGTATTCAAAATACATCTAAATAATGTTCCCAACAGGAGGTGGAGCTGTGGGCACCGCCCCAGCTGTTATTGTGCCTGCAGTGGCCTCTAGTGTTCCCTCTAACTGGGTAACCTCAGTTTACATCCCTGCGCTGTTCATTAGCTCAAACACCATTTGACTCCACCATTCCTCAAACATTTCACCTCCCCACGCCCTCGCTCTGAGTCAGAAGGTTGTGGATTCAAACCCCTGAACTCAGTTAGGGTCACCGTCCTTCGGATGAGAAGTTAAACCAAGATTCACGTCTGTCTGTTCAGGTGGACGTTAAAGATACCACGGCACCATTTAAAAAGACAAGGGAGTTTCTCCAGGTATCCACGCCAACAACCCCACAGATAAATTTCGTTATTCATTTCACGGCTGTTTGTGACAGCTTCATTAGCCGAGTCCCACAAACAGTAATGGATTGAGTCACCAAATTATTATTATTATTTTTGAAGGGATTATTACCCCCGGAAAAGCGATCCGCCAATCGAATAACAACCGGATTCCTACTTACTGCTCGGTAAGCAGAGGCGTGTGGAGTAAGGAAACTTGCCTAAGGTTTCGCCCTGGTTTAAGTGCTGCCTGTCACACAACAGCAGAGCCAGCACCTCAGGGCTAGTGCAGTAAAGCACTGCCATAACCTACTACCTGACCTGTTTCCATGGCAGCACGAGTAAAGGGCCAGATGCAATAGGATCACATCACTGCAATGTCAGGGTATCTGCCAATGAGCAGACCAAAAAGGAGGGAGGGCGGTGGGGGAGTGGGGGGGGGAATGCTTTAAACTTTCGGATTTAAAACAATGGATCAATTTGCTCCCTGCTCTCTGAAAATCCATCCCAAGTCCCTCCGACATGCTCTCTCTCTCCCTCTCATTGTTCCGAAGTCCATCTCAGGACATACCTCGATGCCTGCACTCTTGGGTCATCTTTAAGGCGCATCCGGATCTAACTCTTTGAAGGCTCTTTCAATCAACCTTTCCCTTCCCCATCCCCACCTCCCTCGGCTCAGGTGCCCCAGCCAGCAGCTTTGAGACGTCCTTCCGACTTGAAGAAGGTGCTGTGTAAACGTTGTGTTTCAGGAAGGGAACCACAAAAATATTGCTCGTGCGGCCCTTGGAGGTTTCCGGCCCTCGGCAGCCAAAAGGTTGAACCCACCCTGGTCTAGGCTGTGAGCTCAAAGTCCCGACGTGGGACTTGAACCCGCATCCGTCTGTCTCAAAGAAGAGAGTGAGTGCTACCAGTTGAGCCAGGCGGAGGCAGTAGATTGTTGGGAGTGGGAGGACAGCAGTTTTATTCAATGGGAGGGAAGAAAAGGAGCTCCTCACCTTTGCCAATCGCAGCAGGGTTTCTCTTTCCACTTCGTCCTTTCGCTGTTTCTCCAACCGCTCCAACTGCTCGAAAAACTTCAGTTGCGTCCTGGCATCGCTCGAAACGCTGTACTGGACATCATCCTGCAATATCAGAGAGACGGGTGGGTCAAGCAACCAATTACCCACCCCTCACCCCGCCATCCACCCCGCCCCATCTTCCCAGCCAAACCACGAACCAAGCACACCCCTCCCCCCCAGTCAGTCGGTGTCTGATATGTGCAGAAACACATCACCTTGCTTAAGAGTATCCAAACCAGAGAGAGTTCATTGATTGCCACCTACACGTGGAAATTCCCGTGTACTGTAATGGAATGCACACTCTCAGCCCAGAGGGATGCATCCTGCTAACCTACTTCCAGAGAGAATTAGATGAAGATTGGCAAGAACTGAACTTTGGGAGTAGCTGCTGGAGACTAACCCACTAAAACCATATAGCTTGTCATTGAGAGCACCGTCTGGCAAGCTTTCCCGCTGCTTGTCCAACTAGGACCACCCTACCCGTTAGGGCTTTGGTTTGCTGAGCTAAAATCCCTGTTCCTTGGTGCAGCTCATGTAACGGCACTTTGACTGCATCAAATCTCACTCAAGATATTTATCAGCCCTGTGTGATCCTCGTGTTAGCAGTCATTTTGTTGGCCAACCAGTGTCTGCCCTTCCAAGTCCTCCCAACAAGACAGTCAGGCTGGTCTGTCATCAGCAGTGGCCTGGAATACTGCGGACCTGTCTGGCTCAGAGGGTTGACTTAATTCCGACATTCCCTGGCTAGCACATCACCTTGGAGCCAACTCAGATTCATGGAGCCGCCACCACCCAAGAGATTAGTCCTAATGGAGATAATGCAATGTAAAAGACCACTCCCTGTTTAACAGGATGTTTCATGACTGTAAAGTCTAACCAGAACTTGAAAGTCCTCATGTCACAACATCGATGCCTTCAGACGCATCAGGTCAGTGAGGTTAGTACATTATATCACTAACCACTAAATGCCTCAGCACATCTCACGAACATCATGGGATGTGTCAGCCCAATTCAGTTACAAGCACACTCCCTCCAGAGTCAGAAGGTTGTGGGTTCAAGCCCCACGTCAGGACTTGGAACGCACGGTCTAAACTAACATTCAAATGGAATAAGGGGGGAGCTCTGCAGTTTTGGCGGTGCCGTCTTTCGGATGAGATGTTAAACTGAGGCCCCACCTGACTGTTCAGGTGGACATTAAGGATGGATCCCATGGCTCTATTTGACAAAGGAGTGTTTCTCCCAGTGTCCTGGCCACCAGATAAAATCATTCATCCATGTTATAGCTGTTTGTGGACATTGCTGTGCGCGGGTTGGCTGTCCTTTTCGATCCAAACGCAGTCACTACTCTTTACAGTGTATCTCATTTTGAGATGTCCTCCCGAAGTGAAAGGATCTGTATCAGATGTAATTTTTTTTAAAACATCTAATCTTTAGCACAAGCTCTATCCCCACCCGGTGGTAGAAAATCGATGCTGCACTGAGCACTTTTCACCCTCTCGACCTCACTCGGGTTTATATGAAAATCCCCCAGTTCTTAAAAATCTGACAATTGGTTGAAACATCACAAAAGCCTCGTTCTTGAGACTGCACAAAATTTCCCTTTGCCAACTTCCCCCAACACTGCTCCCACCCACCCACTCCACAACCCACTCCTCCCTCCCACCCCCAAAAGATTACTTGCCAAAGCCACATTGCCAGCCTTTGCTTCAACCGCAAGACTAAATCCTAAATGAGATGCTTAACGGCAAAAGGAAATTTTATGGAAATTCTCCCATTCTTTTATTTTGCAAATTTTATTAAATACACGCGGTGGGGGGGGGAGGGGAATGTCAGCTCTGAAAAGATTAATGGTCCTCGTGGTTTGGAATAAGACATCGTAATAAAATAGGCCTTCTGCGAATCCCATATATATATATATTTGGATACTGTCTATATGTCAGCCTGGCACAGTTGGTTACACTTTTGTGTCTGAGGCACAAGATTCTGGGTTCAAGCCCCACGTGGGAACTAGAATTCACCAAGTCCCTGATAATCCTCCAATGCAGTGCCGGGGGTGGATCGCGTTGTCTAAGATGCCGTCCTTCGGATGCGACATTAAACCGAGGTCCCATCCATCTGTTCAGGTGGACGTTAATGATCTCCCATGGCACTACTCGGGAAGAGAAGGGAGTTTCTCCCAGTGTCCTGGCCAACAATCCCCCAAAATAAATATAAATGGCCATTCATTTCCTGGCTCCATGTGGGACACTGACATGCGCATTTGGGCTGCGAAGTTTTCCTACAACAACATGTATATATAGTGTTCTGCCCGCAGGGTAGTATCTCAAAGCGCTTAAATTCACATACGCAGTTACTCACTCACTGTCAGTGAAACTACTCACCAACTATCTTGTAGTTTACAATAATAATAATCCTTACATTTGACATAACTCCTTATGACTTCATTGAGATGTCTCAAAGCGCTTTACAGAATCTACTGTATGTACAGTGTTGTGGGTAAAATGCAGCAGCTAACTGCACACAGCAACGTCCAACAAACAGGCGTGGATTGAGTGACAAAATTATCATTCACTTCTCTCCCGCTGGGGTCCAAATCCCCGACTGTCCATCTCCTCCCGACGTGAAAGACGCTATACAAATGTAATTTTGTATTGTATTATTATTATAGCTTTTTAAATTATTTTATTTTTATTTTGAAGGGATTATCATCCCCGGAAAGCAATCTGTCAATCGGGTTCCTACTTACTGCTAGGTAAACAGAGGTGTGTGGAGTAAGGAAACTTGTCCTGCCCAGGAATCGAACCTGTGTCCTCTCACTTGCGAGGCGAGTGCTCTAACCACTAAGCTACAGGACTCCATGAAAGTCATATAAGAATAGAATATCACGACTTGATTCTCTGCTGCCAGCACAAAAGATCACTTCCTCCCTCGCACAGTCAGACAGGGGAAAGGAAATTTATTCTGAAAGCAGGTGGGAGAGTGGGGGAGAGAGCAATACAGCAGAGAAACAGGCACAACTAGTCAGTGCTTGGGACATCCTCCCGACGCGAAAGGCGCTACACAAATGTAATTTGTTGTTGTTGTTGGGGAGAGAGAGAGAGAAAATGTCTGACCTTATAAGACACCATCCGATGCTGTGCAATTGTGTTGAGTTTCTTCACGAGGTTTGACAAGCGCTCCTGGGTTGCGTGTGAGATGGTGTTCAGAACCTCGGAGCTCACCTCCATCACTCCGTGCGTCTGCCCTAGAGAAGAGGAACACACAACGTAGAGACGCACGTATACTGCTATCCCACTGCAACAGGAAAAAGCTACGAGCAACGGTTTGACAAGCTGGGGCTCTTCATTCTTGAGAGAAAAGAAGTCTCAACAGAGGTGAATAAAAGTTTTGAAAAAGGATTGAAAAAGTAAATGCACAACAACATGTTCGGATTCACCAAGACAGTAGAACAAGAGGACACAGGTTTAGTGTTGCAAAGGTATTGCAGACACCATGACATGTTTCTTTACTGAAGAGGGCAATTAATAACTGGAACATGTTGGCCAGGACGCTGGAACTCATTTTAAAAAGTAGCTTGGTGCTGTGACAATAATAATAATAATTCTTAAATTTGTCCTACAAACAGTCGTGGATTGAGTGACCAAATTATTACAATTTTATTTTTTATGGGATTATTACCCCCCGGAAAAGCGATCCGCCAATCGACTAACAACTGGGTTCCTACTTCCTGCTAGGTAAACAGAGGCGTGTGGAGTAAGGAAACTTGCCCAACACATCTGGACGGATGAGAGATCTGATGGGCCAAAGGGCCTTCTTCATCCGAACTGATCTTAAAATTGTGCGATCACAGAGTTGAACACAGGACAAGAGAGGCAGCACAGAACAAACACACCATTTCCATTTGTCCCTGTTTAACCTGCGATGGTCCAAATCAGCTCTTAAAGACTCGGCAGGAGACAAGTACAGGTTCATTAAAAGGGTTCTTCCCAGAACGAGACGGTAACAAAAGCGAACGGTTATTTTTCTCTCTCTCCTCTTCCCCCATACATATAAAAACTGTCTGCCTTATTGATTCGAAGGGCAGGAGATCAGGATTCTTATAATGTCACCACTTCAAATAACCATTCATCTCACAACTAGGAGTGAGCCCTGAGCGCTAGGAAATATACACATTATTTCATTTGGCCCAGAGCAGTATCCTTGCTTCAAGGTCACTTGGAAGGCAATGTTACACTCGCCAGCGCAGAGAGAAACCATGGCTTTGGGAAGGTAAGACAACAGACCTGCAGACACCAACCAGGATTTATTCTAAACGGCTGATCAAAGAAATCTATTGATGCAAACAGTTTAAACCCTCTAAACTGTTTAATCTTTTCTTTTGCCATTATAAAATGCTACTATTATGCCACGGCACACAAATTCATTCAGAATTTCCCTGCTGCCTGATACGCACTGCAATGCAATGAACATTTGCCTCTCAGATAGATGCCAGAGATCGGCTGTTATAATAATAATGATGATAATAATAATCCTTGCATTTGATATAGTGCCTCATCGCGTCTTCGAGACGTCTCAAAGCCCTTCACAGGAAATACTGTAAAGCGAATTGAATATATATTTTTGTGGGTGAAACTCGGCAGCCATTTGGGCACAGCAGTGTCCCACAAACAATCGTATAAATTGGGAGTGGAAGAAACCTCAGGTAAAAATGCTTTAGGCTACGTGTAGTCATTAACAGAGAGCCGTTCTCAGTTGGGTGGAGCACAACATTTACTGTTCAACAATAATAATAATAATAATCCTTGCATTTGATATAGCGCTTTTCACGTCGGAAGGACGTCCCAAAGCGCTTCACAGAACACACTGTAAAGTGAATTGACTGTAAATTTGTGGGCGAACGCGGCAGCCAATTGCGCACAGCAATGTCCCACAAACAGTCGTAGATTGAAAATGCCAATTTTATTATTGTTTTTGGTTTTGGAGGATTATTATTAGGCTCTGTGTGGAGTAAGGAAACTTGCCCAAGGTTTCGCCCTGGAATTGAACTCAGGTCTCTCGCTTGCAAAGCGAGTGCTCTAACCACTGAGCTACAGGACTCCACAAACAAATCATAATGATAAACCAAATTATATATTATATTTAATACAGCTCTTTCTGTCAGGAGGACCACTCAAAGGATGCAATGCAAAGTGTAGTGAGTGTATATTTTGTAGGTGAATACGAAAGCCAATTTGTCTGACGCTACCCTGTGTGAGGGGCACTATATAAATGCAAGTTGTTGTTGTGTGAATGGGAATTGCTGGAGGTCGTAAGCAAATCAAGTGTTAAAAAGAGAGTGGAACAAGATATTAAGAGTAGGCTTGACAGTCCACCAATAGAAAGGGAGAAAGGATAGGGGGGGGTGTGCACGGAGGGAGGGGAACAGAACTCATTAAACCAGACCCTCAGGCAACTGCTGTTTTGTAGCTCGAATGATTTGCTCTGGGGAGCCAAGCGATCAAACCTCACAAAGCTGCACAACATACTAGCAGAAACCAGACCCCCACCCTAGTCTGATTACCTGGTTTTGGTAAACAACTACATAAAAATAGGTACAAAGAGATTCTCAACCAACCTCTCCCAACCCAACCCCCCAACACGCGCACACACATAGCTCCCGCCCCTAAGAAGGGACCTGACAGATGAGGGGTACTGACAGGGTCATTAGGGAAAAGCTATTTCCACTTGTTAGGAAACAGTGAAACAGCGACGTCTTCTACAGAAACAGTGAGCTGGTGACTGGTGAACATGGATAGTCACAATAGTATTAATAATAATAATCCTTGCATTTGATATAGCGCTTTTCACGTCTTCTAGACGTCTCAAAGCGCTTCACAGAATATTCGGTAAAGTGAGTTGACCATATACTTGTGGGCGAAACGCGGCAGCCAATTGCGCACAGCACTGTCCCACAAACAGTCGTGGATTGAAGTGACCAATTTTGTTATTGTTTGTTTTCGTGAGGGATTATTATTAGGCGTGTGGAGTAAGGAAACTTGCCCAAGGTTTGGCCCTGCCGGGAATCGAACCCAGGTCTCTCGCTTGCGAGCCGAGTGCTCTAACCACTGAGCTACAGGACTCCACACAAGCAGAAGAAAGGAGTTTTTTAACCAATAATAACCCTTTAATTTGATGTAGTGCCTTATCACGTTGTCGAGACGTCTCAAAGCATTTCACCGTATGTACTGTAAGGTGAATTGACTGTATATTTTGTGGGCGAAACGGGGCCAACCTTAACACCAACACCTCACACATACACAGCTCCAAACTCCCCTCCCCCCCTCGAACTCACGTGTCAAGCCACGATAGTTAAACGACCTTGGGACCTGCCGATGTAACTTTGCATTGTATTTTTACATTTAACGTATCTTTGAGTCGATTTAAAGATTTCTCTTTTTTGGGGGGGGGGGGGGGGGGGAATTCTTAGAATTTTTTTATAATAATCGAAAGCAAAGCGCCCCAAATGAAAAGGCGGAGAACTCTGCCGTGGACACATGCGGACGGACACACAATCCCACACGTAAAGCGGATTTTTTTTTTAACCTTTTTTATACATTGGACGCTTCTGATGCGTTTCGCACCGAAAAAAGGTGGCAAATCGGTCACTTTTCAGTAACAATTCCACCTTGCGCTGGATACGGCGCCTTATCACGTCTTCGAGAACCCCTCAAAGCACTTCACAGGATGTACCGTAAAGTGAATTGACCGGCTTTTCTGTGGGCGAAACGCGGCAGCCAATTGCGCACAGCGGTGTCCCGCAACCAGCAAATTAAGCAGTTTACAAAAGAAGCAAAGCCCCGGCGACATTAAATCGTTGCTCTGACAACTACTCTTCGCGGGCAAAAAAAAACCAAAAAAACCCCAAACAATCCAAAAAAAGAAGCCGGTCGGAATGAAACGAATTCCAGTTAACAGAGAGCTCTGCGCTCCAATAATTCGGCCACTGGAAGCAGAGAACGGCTGGTGGAAGTCTTAAGCTGTTTCAGACACACCCCAAAGGCTGCAGTAGTCGTGCACTTAAGAGCTGATATAAATACAGCGAGACACATTTTAGCTGTTACTGGGGCAGTTATCCTGGGCTGAAGGCACTTTTGATGAGCAATTTTCAGCTCAAACAGTCTCCGAAGAGTGCTGGGGAGATGTTTTATTAAAATCATAACCTTCTGAAAATTGCTGCACAAATAGCGTCCTGGGTCAATGACAATCAGCAGAGGTATTCAGGACGTGCAGAGCAACACCAATCAACAGGACAATTTTCACTTGTGCAGTGCCTTTCGCTCCGGGAGGATAATATTAATAATAATCCTTGAGTTTGATACAGCGCCTCATTGGGTCTTCGAAACGTCGCAAAGCGCTTCACGGGATTTACTGTAAAGGGGATTAACTGCGTGTTTTGCGGGCGAAAGATGTCTCAAAGCGCTTGACGATGCTGGGGTCAGAGCTGGGGTGGGTCGGGAGGAAGAGGAAGAGAGACAAGCCAGTTCTTTAGTAGGCGTACATCTTCCTACTTCAATCTAAGCTACTTACTAGCTTGTATATTGCACATTGTGTTTGCTCTCTTTGTCTGTGCGCACATGGGAAGCGGTGAATACAGTAAAACCTTTCAAAGCCTATCTTTGACCGTGCCTTCCCCCTTCCTCCATCCCCCCCAGCCCTCTTGAGTCCTCCCATCTCTTCTTTTCCAGGCTCGGGTGCCCAGACAGCTGTGCAAAGCGCTTCAAGTCTTGCTCTAGACGTGAGAGACTCTGCATAATCTTAACTGTATGGTACTGTTTCGATGAGCACAATCTTCCCCTGCAGCATCGCTGCGCTCCTAATTCCTGGAATTTCCTGCCTCAATCGCTCCACCTCGCTCCCTCTTTATCCGTCTTTAAACCCCGCCTTATGACCTACCTCTTTGAGTGAGGTTACGGTCACCTCCCCCTCCCCCCGTCACCCCGGTCGCTGTGCAGCGCTCCGAGATGCTATCCTTCATGAAGGGAGTTATATAAGACCTACCAAGACCTACTGCTGCGCTCTTGCCTCCGCTAATCCTCCTTCTACTCCAAGGTTATCTTGGAGGCAAAGGAATCTTTTCCACCACTAACCGTCTCTTTCCCATACCTCGCTCATCCTCTCCTCAAACTCCAACTGTGAGGAGATGCTGGACTTCAGCCACCTCTGCCTCATCCACAGCCACCCCCACATCACCTCTCCCTGATGACCCACCCCCCCACCCATCCCCCCCTATACTCCGTCGACCCTATCTCTCCCTCCTCCCGCACCACGACTGTCCGCAAACTCAAACCCACCACCTGCTCCCTCGATCCCATCCCCACCTCTCTCCTCGTCTCCCAGCTCCACCTTCTGGCCCCTCTCCTGTCCAATGTCATCAAGCTCTCCTTGTCCACCGGTTCAGTTCCCGCCCCCCTAAAAATAGCCGTCATCACCCCAATCTTGAAAAAAACCTTCCCTGGATCCATCCCTCCTCTCCAGCTACCGCCCCATCTCTAACCTCCCATTCCTCTCCAAGGTCCTGGAATGAGTCGTCGCGTCCCAGCTCTGCTCCTTTCTCACCATTCCCTCTTTGAACCCCTCCAATCCGGCTTCCGCACTGCCCACAGCACGGAAACAACCCTGGTCAGTCACTAATGACATTCTGAACATCTGTGATCAGGGCTCCCTCTGCCTCCTTATCCTCCTCGACCTCTCTGCTGCCTTTGACATTGTCAACCACTCCATCCTCTTACACCGCCTCTCCGCTTTACTCAATCTTTGTGGACCTGCCCTTGCCTGGATCGAATCCTATCTCTCTCACCGTCTCCACTTTGTTGCATCTAACGGTTTCTCCTCCAGCCCCCGCACTGTCATGTCTGGTGTCCCCCAGGGCTCTGTCCTTGGCCCTCTCCTCTTTAATATCTACATGCTCCCCTTTGGTGACATCATCTGCAGACATGGGGTCAACTTCCACATGTGTACGGATGACACCCAACTCTATCTTTCTGCCTCCACCCTCAACTCCAGGACCACTGCTGTCCTGACAGACTGCCTGTCGGACATCAAGTCCTGGATGAGGGCAAACTTCCTACAGCTAAATGTGAACAAGACTGAGGCCCTCCTGATTGGCTCTTGTTCATGCCTTCATCACCTCCAGGCTTGACTATGCAAACGCCCTGCTTGTCGGCCTTCCCAATTCCTCCCTCCACAGGTTGCAGATAATCCAGAACTCTGCAGCCCGTGTCCTCTCCTGCACCAAACTCCCCATCTACCCCACTCTCGCTCGACTCCATTGGCTCCCTATCTTTCAGAGGATCGAGTTCAAAATCTTGGTCCTCACATACAAAGCCCTCCATGGGCCTCGCCCCACCCTACCTCTGTGACCTCCTAACCCCCTACCAACCCGCCCGTTCCCTCCGCTCAGTCGGCTCTGCCCTGCTCCATGTCCCCCGACCCACTCGCCCCACCATTGGCGGGAGAGCCTTCAGCCACTCTGCCCCCAACCTCTGGAATTCCATCCCCCAGTTACTTTGCCTCGCCCACTCCTTAGCCTCCTTCAAGTCCCGCCTCAAGACCCTCCTCTTCAACCATACAATCGGCCACCCCCCTTCCCCTCCCCTCCCTTACGCCCCCTGACCCCAGCTCGGGTCTGAAATCCTGTACTCTGTCCAGTGCCTTGGGACGTCCTCCCAACGAGAAAGGCGCTATACAAATGTAATCTTGTTGCTGTTGTATAAGTGCAACTTGTTGTTTCCGTTTATAAATAATAATAATTCCTGCATTTCATATAGCTCCTTAATATGGGCAAAAGGCGACACACAATTGCGCACAACAGTGTATTTTGTGGGCGAAACGCGGCAACCAATTACGTACAACAGAGCAATGTCCCACAAACAGTCGTGGATCGATCGACCAAATGTTTTTTGAATATTATTTGTTTAAAGGATTTATTACCCCTGGAAAAGCGATCCACCAATCGACTGACAACCGGGTTCCTACTTACTGCTAGGGAAACTTTTCTAAGGTTTCGCCCTGTTCGGGAATCAGACCTTGCGAGGTGAGTGCTTGAACCAATATTCTACAGGACTCCACCCCTCCACACTACAGGTTTCCCTGCACGTGACTTACCTATTTCCAACACTCGTTTCTGCAGCGTTGCCACGGAAAGGAAAGCTTCGTCCTTGCAGGAGTGGATCATGGTGCCCACCGTCTCCGAGTTGGTGGCCAGGATTCGTGCGTTCTCTTCACAGATGTTCACCCCAGCCATAGAGGCCACGTCGTTAATATCGTCCTCATCCCTGAACAACAAGAGCACATCGAGCACAGGGGAAGAGTGAGCCAGAGAAACTCTTGATAACTCACCCCTGAGATAAGTCATCAAACCCAAATAACCCCTCCCTCCCTCCCCTCAATATCCCGGCTGTTTCCTATAAGAAATATTAATTATGATCCTCTGATAATTAGTCATCCGAGGCATCTCATAACTCGTCAGGTTTTCGCACTTTTAAGATGGGGTTTCTCCTATAAACGTGCCCATTCCCTCCGCTCAGTGGGCACTGCCCTGCTCCTCGTATCCCGCCCTGCGCATTCCACCACTGGCGGTCGAGCTTTCAACCTTTCTGGCCCTGCTCTCTGGAACTCCACCCCTTCACTTCACCTCGTGGCCTCGATTACCTCCTCATTGACAGCGCTTTCGGTTATCCTCCCATCCCCATCCCCCACTTGCCATCCACCCCTCTTGACTCCAACCCCTTGCTCGGATGTAAACCCATGACTATCCAGCGCCTAGGGACTTCCTCCCGACGCGAAAGACGCTATATAAATACAACTTGTTGTTTTGCTGTTCCCTTTCCTATGATCTTGTTTGGTTTATCCTTGAGTTTTGTACTTCTGATCAGTTACAGCATTTTTGCTCGGCTAGCGTTTTCGCATCTGTGGTCATTGTTAATAATAATAATCCTTGCACTTGACACAGTTACTACACCTCACAGTATATCCTTTGAGACGTGCACCTGACGTGTAAGACTCTATAATAATAAAAATAATCCTCGCATTTGATATAGCGCCTTATCAAGTTTTTGAGTCGTCAAAGCGCTTCACAGAATATACTGTAAAGTGAATTGACTGTATATTTGCTCTGCATTGTGTTATTGCTTGCAGTTTATGTATCCGTGCAGTTAAAATATTCCATGTAGGTTTGACGTTCGTGTACAAATCGCTCACTGTAAATGCCTCAAAGACTTCTGTCAGCATTTGAAAGAACAAAAACTTCAAAGAAATTTAGAAACTGCTTTCCTGAGCCGATTCGAACACTTTTATTTTTTTGAGCTGCTGTACTTTGGATAACTAGTCAACTCTGATGAGTTGTCATTTGAGCTATTTCATTTGGAGTGACAAGTTATGAGTTTCACTGTATTAATCATAGTAATCCTTACAATCGATATGGCACTTTTGCGTAATTTGCACACAAAAATCAAACAGCCATGGAGTGGGTATGGAATGAGCAACCTCTCTCTCTCCAGCTGAAGGAGAATGTTCTTGTGTAGGTGGCACACAAGGAACTCTCATTCTGGTTCGGTTATTCTTAAGCACGGTGATGGGTTTCCTCGTGGGTCAGACCCCCAAAAAATAAAATGAGAAGACTGTTACTGCACTGTTAAAATAAAACAATCCGAAACACTGTCTGTTCGCTGGACACCGAGACTAGAAACTGGTCTTCAAAGATCCTCACACTCGTCTTCAAATCCCTACCTCTCCAACCTGCTTACTCCCCAACCCATTACTCCGCTCAACTGGCTCCGGCCTCCTACATGTCTCTCGTGCCCTCCGTTTCACCATCAGTGGCCACGTTTTCAGTCACTGCGCCCCGAAACTCTGGAAAACTCTTCCTCTATCCCTCCACCTTGCCCCTTCCTTCCCCATCTTCAGGTCACAGCTGAAGACCTTCCCATTCTACCGTGCCTACAGTCACCTCTCGCTCTTCCTCGCTCACTCCCTTACGTCATATCTATCACAATGCAAATCAATCAGTGGACTGACTAGGATTGTAGGGAAAACACCTTGACCTCAATTGCTTCCGTTACAAGGGCCGGGCGGGGGGAGAAATAAATTGAGAAGGAGCAAAAGAAAATAAAGTTACAAGTTAATCTTAAATAAGACCAAATTTTTTTTAAATCCTCAACAACAAGAGCCAGAAGATTTACTCGCGTGTGTTAATATTAATAGCCCACAGCGAGCCTGGAGGAAGCGCTCAATTTCATCTCGTCCAATGATACTGATTTTACAAAGTCTTTCAGTGCTGAAGCGTGTCACAGTCGCCCCCTGCTGTCCATGAGTGTGCGCTGTGAGACGGGGGATGCACGCTGCTTGTGTATACTCTCGCGCCCCCCCAATGATTTATGATTTATTTATGATCGTAAATAATAAAGAGACTTCGCATCAGATTAAGCGCCTCCCCTCCGCCGTTAAGATATTGCAAAAGCAAGCGCTTTCACAAGATTTACAGGGCTGTGCGTTTTGAGGGTGAACTTTGCCGGCAATTTGCACACAACAAAACCCCACCAACGGATCTGAGCTCAAAGAGATGGATGTTCAGAACAATACTGGGGGGAGGGGGAGGTGGGGGGAGGGGGAGAGGGGAGCGCCGCATGGTCAGAAGTGTTGTATCGATCGTGACGTTAAACTGAGGTCCTGTTGAGCAACATTAAAGATCCCACGATACTTTCGAAATATCCTCCTGGACAGGCAGACGGGACCTCGGTTTTACATCTCGTCCGTAGGACGGCACCACCGGCAATGCAGGGCACATTCCCAGGATGGTATTTTGTGCCAGTAGTTGGGCCAGGGTACAGATTACTAAATACTTTTTGACTTTGAAACACATAATTTGGTCACTCGATCCTCGACTGTTTTGTGGGACGCTGCTGTGTGCAGTTGGCCGCCGTGTTTCGCCCACAAAGTGTACACCGTCAATCTACTTTTACAATATATTCCGTGAGGAGCTTGAGAAATCGCAACGACATAATAAGGCGCTATATCAAATACAAGGATCATTATTATAACAGTTCTACCTCCAGCCCATGTGCAACAGCACTTTGCATTGGCAGTGAAGAGAATCAATACGCCAACAACTTGCACTTACATAGTGCCCTCCACGCAGGGCAGCGTCTCAGAGCGCTTAACAGTGACAGAGCCTGACTCCGAGCTGGAGGTGGGGGGAGATGGCCATGAGCACGGTCGAAGAGGAAGGTTTTCAGGTGGGATTTGAAAAAGGGGAGAGATGGGGCAAGGCGGAGGGAGAGTGTTCCAGAGTTTCGGGGAGTAGTGACTGAAAGCACAACCTCCAATGGTGGGGCGGAGGGTGCGAGGGACGAGCAGGAGGCCGGTGCCAGCTGAGCGGAGGCGCCAGGTGGTGGATTGGGCAGTGTGGAGGTCGGAGAGGCAGGGAGGTGCCAGGGTGGAATGCACATATAACTTGGTCACTCAATCCACAACTGTTTGTGGGACGCTGCTGTGCGCAATGGGCTGCCGCGTTTTGCCCACAAAATATACAGTCAATTCACTTTACAATATATTCTGCGAAGCGCTTTGAGACGTCTCGAAGACGTGATAAGGCGCTGTATCAAATGCAAGGATTATTATTATTATTTAAATTACGTATTCTTCGATACGTCTATTCATCTCTACCAGCACGAGGGCTGTGGATGACAATTTTTGACGCAATGCTGAAAATAAAGCTATTTGCTGTCTGCAATACTGGCAGCCTGGCTCAGCTGGTAGTGCTCTCACCTCCAAGTCAAAAATTGTGGGTTCAAGCCCCACATCGGGAACTTAGAACTCACATAGGCTGACACTCCACTGCAGTGCTGGGGGAGAGCTGGGCTCTCGGAGGTGCCGTGCTTTAGCAGGAGATATTAAACTGATGTCTCGTCTGTGCCTTTTGGGTGGATGTTAAAGTTCTACTCGAAAACAGAAGCAAGTTTTGCCTGGGGTCGTGTCCAAACCCCCACCCCCAAAGAAAAATTAGTTCATTCACTCCACGGCTGTTTGTGGGATGTTGCTGTGAGCAAAATTAGCTTCCGCGTTCAAACATAAAACATCCAGTCACTACCCGTGACAGTACATCGAGTGAATCACTTTGAGATATCCTCTGCTTAGTGATTCGGGTTGAGGCGCCATATCAGATGTAAGGATTATATAGAACCTTTGAAGCCTCTCAGCGGAGATCGCTCTTAACAGTGAATAATAAATAATAATAATTTGGTCACTCAGTCCACGACTGTTTGTGGGTCACTGCTGTACGTAACTGGCTGCCGTGTTTCGCCCACAAAATACAGTCAATCCACTTCAGTGTTTCCTGTGAAGCACTTTGAGGCATCTCGAAGACTTGATAAGGCGCTATATCAAATGCAAGAATTATTATTATTATAACAGAGGTCAGAACTGCCTGGCCTGGTCAGAGACAGAAGCATTCTTGAGAACAGCCAGTCAACGCACACAGACTGTACACCAAGGAAACAGGCCATTCGGCCCAACCAGCCCTTGATCCACATGTTAGTCTATAAATAAACTTCACTCACAGAAGCCAACCGGACTTGCAATTTGTTCAGCACTTACCGGAGGAAAACTTCAGCTCAGAACCTTGTGAAGTTTACAGCCCAAACTGCAAACAAAACTGCTTGTAACCTCACCGAATCGCACGCAGAATCATGGCTCTCCAGTACGCTGCTTGCTCGAGGAGCTATTTTATCTTATTTACCTGAAAGCAACGCTGCCTCCGACCTCTTTCATTTTGTTCCTCTGAGCAGGGGAAGCTTGCAGCGAATGCCTGGCTCCTGAGAACGCTGGCACATTTAGAACTGAAGGTGTAGAAACTGATCAAAGAAATAAGATTAAAACCTGACGACAACAACAACAATATCAATACAACAGATTGCACGCAGGAAATAATAATCCTTGCATTTGATATATCGCATTGATGAGACATCTCAAAGCACTTCACAGAATACACTGGAAAGTGAATTGACTATATTTTGTGGGTGAAATGCGACAGGCAATTGCGCACAGCATTGTCCCACAAACAGTCGTGGATTGAGTGACCAAATTATTATTTGTTAAAAAAGATTTTGAACGTATTATTACCCCCTGGAAAGCGATCCGCCAATCGACTAACAACGGGGTTCCTACATGCTGTTAGGTAAGGAGAGGAAGTAAGGAAACTTGCCCAAAGTTTCGCCCTGCCCAGGAATCGAGCCCAGGTCTTCTCGCTTCCGAGGCGAGTGCTCTAACTGTGGTACATAAATAAGACTGAAAGGATTGCTCTTTTTTAAAAGAGGCAGCAAAGACACAATGGAACTTCTTCCGCTCTAAATAAAGGCCTTTGGTTCCAAGACAGTCATTTCAGGCATTAAAACAATCCTTACACTTGTCTTAGCGTCGTTCAAGAAAGGAGGACGTCTCAAGCTGCTTCACGGGATACGCTCTAAACTGTAGTGACTGTATTTTGTAGACTAACACGGCCGCCAATGTTGCACACAGCAATGTCCCACAAACAGCCGCGGATGAACAATTTTTTTTTAATCCGGTGTATTGTCAAGCGGGACACTGGGAAAAACTTCTTGTTTTGATTAGTGCCACGGGACCTTTAATGTCTTTTAACGGGTCCTCAGTTTGACATCTCATCTGAGGGACGGCACCTCTGACAACGCAGGACAGCCCTGGCACTGCTCTGGACTGTCCGCTGGGTTTCGAACCCACAACCTTCTGACTCAAAGGCGTGAGTGCGACTAACTGAGCCAGGCCGCAGAGGAGGCGGAGAAATATACACAGAAACACTAACCACTTTAATAGCTTAATGGATTCTCAGTAAACTTTAGCCCTAAAAAGTCTGGAATAGTTTGGAGGGCATTTTAACATTGTTTACGATAAGGCAGCTTTTTTGTATCCTCCTCAGTCGGTGGGTGCGTGGGAGGGAGGGAGGGAGGGAGACATACAAGTCTTTTTTTTAATCTATCTGAAATTAAAAGGGGTAAAGATACCATTCATCATAAACCAACCAGATAAATACTGCTTAAACAGCCTGCAGATTTATTTCCTCACCTCCTTGAACTTGCTGAGTTGGATTTGGGAGGACACGGGCACAGTGATGTGGGTTGGAGGTCTCTGTAAAGTCACCAGGTGAGTCTTTGGCAGTGCACTCGCTAGTGGCTTCACGACCACAACTCCAGACTGCTGGACTGTCTATGAACAAACAAACAGTTACAATAGTCCTCGCATTTGATCGAACGCCTTATCACGACTTCAAGACATCTCAAAGCCCTTCACAGGGCTTTACTGTGTTTCACTGCCAAGCGGATTCTGACCTCATTTTGAGGACGAACTCAGCAGCCAATTTGCACACAGCAATGTCAAAGTGGTCAATTTTTATCCAGAGGATTGTTGGCCAGGACACTGGGAAACTCCCTTCGCTTTTTGACTCGCGCCACGGGATCCTTAATGTCCACCGGACCAGGCAATCTGGACCTCGGTTTAACGTCCCTTCCAAAGAACAGCACCTCCGACAATGCAGCTTTCCCCCAGCAACGCGCTGGAGTGCCAGCCTAGAAGGTGAATGGGGTTTGAACCCACAACCTTCTGACTTGGAGACGAGTGTACGACTGAGCCAGGCTGACAGGCCGACAATGGATAAGGTTGCAACCAATAATCCGATCACACGTCCGGGTACGTGGGCGGGGAACAAAGACGAAATGTAATAATAATAATAATCCTTACATTTGGTAACAGCGCCTCTCAGGTCAGGAGATTGTTTCAAAGCACCTCACAGGATGCACTGTAAAGTGGAGTGACTGACTGTGTTTTTCAGGCGAACGTATTGTATACAAATCTTTTTCCCAACCTCTCCGTTTACGCTTCCGAAAGAAATTAAGTGAAATCTGCGCTCCGCAAAATGGGATATGGGAACTCAGTGTCTTGGGATGTCCTCCCGACGTGAAAGGGGGGTATTTTTTGTTAAAAGGGAGTTCAAATTTTTATTGTGCCATATTAATCGCAGGAAAACCCCAGTGAGTATTGAAAGTCCCTTCCAAACGCAGCCGGGTCTCAGGAACAATTGCATTTATATAGCGCCCGTCATATGGGGTAGCGTCCTGGAGCCCACGGGAGCAATTGGGGAAAAAACTCACTTCATCCCCAAGACTCTCAGAAACCGAGAAAGATTCAGTTGCGGGGATTTGTATGAAAGGTGACACGTGAGAGCATCTCATTCACAGCAACAATAATACGCACTTGTATAGCTCCCTTCACGCGAGGTCGTGTCTCGAGCACATAAATAGTGATGGCCCTAAGCTAGGGAGAAAGGGGAAGGTGACCGTAGGTACGCTGGAAGAGGAAAGTCTTCAGTTGTGATCTGAAGATAATAATGATCATCATAATATTGCATTTGATATGGCGCCTTATCACGTGCGGAGGAAGGAAACTTGCCTAAGGTTTTGTCCCGTCCGAGAATCGAACCAAAGTCCTCTTGCATTCGAGGTAAGTTCGCTAATCACTATGCTTACATACACTCCACAATTGGGTAGAGGGGCACACTAAGTTGTAGAGGCGTTGGGTGACGATAATGCAAGCTAGGAACGGCCACAGTACATTGTGAACTCACAGAGTTAAGACTCTTCAAACAAGATGGAGGTTTGTTGTACCCGGGTCTTTATTGTAAACCTTTACAGTAATGTACAGGGCTGTGTCAGCGTGAAGCAAGATTGCTTTAGACTCGCCATTTACTGCACCTGAAAGCATTTCACAGAAATAAAACTGCTTTTCAGCATTATTGTCTCTCTCGCGCTCTCGCACGTGCACGCACACACACTTTCTCCTCAAAGCTCCCACCGTCAGATGTAGAGATAACCACATAATCACCATTCTTCACAGCACTCTCAATGGTTTTCAGAAGCCTTGTCAAAGAGCCTTTACTGTACATTGGGCAAATCACTTATTTCTACTAGTGTTAGCTCATAGATAGTAATAATACTTGTATTATATATAGCGTTTTCACATCGAGAGGATGTTTCAAAACGCTTCACAGCATTTAAGGTGAAGTGAAATCACTGATTTCTACGAGAGTAGAAATTAGCTCATAGATAGTAATAATAATAATAGTTGCATTATTTATAGCGCTTTTCACGTCAGTAGGAGGTCCCAAAGCACTTCACAGGATTTACTGTGCAATTGACTGAATGAACAAGAAGCCACATTCCTTGTTAAAGGTTCGATCTTGCACAAGCTGAGTAATAAAGTAGCGAGAGCGGGGGTGAGGGGTTTATAGTTATGGGAATAAGGTCTAAAATATTGGGTCAATTTCCATTAGAGAGGATGGTTAAGAGATGATCTAATAGGATATATCTGAAAGGTTCTGAGAAGGTAAATAGTGAACGATTATATATACACTGGCTGATAAATCGGTATCTAGGGTTCGTAAGCCAAGGAACAGTAATGGAAGCGATTTGGTATTGAGTCAGCCGGGTGTCTGACATGTGTGGAAACCCATCATTGTGCTTAAGAGTATCCAAACATTATATGGACGCCACCTACACATGCAAATTTCAGAGCGTCTTAAACGGAATGCGCCCTCTCTCCCCGCTTACCCACATCCAGAGAGTATCGGGCGCAGGTCGGCACGAGCCAAGGCTTGGGGCCCCCCAGAGTGTGCCTTCGTTGGGGGGTAACTGCTGGAGTTCAAAGTCAGGGCCTTGAACGCACCACCATCTTACTTAGGAAGAGAGGTTGCTATCGACTGAGATAAGCTGATACCTAGGGTGATAGTTAGCCAGTGCGGGGATAATGGGAGCAAAGTCAAGGAAAGGAATTAAAGGATCCAGCGTTGTTTAATAATAATAATGATAATAATAATAAAATGGCAGAACAGCCTTAGTATCTACACCTCTGCCTTAGGCTCTCGTGTACATTAGACCAGGGCGGTCCAACTTTTTTGCCGATTTTGTTCCTCCCCCCACCCTCTCCCTCCATAACCCGTAAAATGTTAGGTTCCGTTTCCCCGGAAGGGAAACCCCAAAATATTTATTGGCGCGGCCGTTTCTCAAATAGGGGCATCCGGCCTTCAGCAGCCGAAAGGTTGGATCACCCTGCGTTAGGCAAAGCAGCTTTGTGACACTGTTGTACATTTCTCTTACCACCGGAGTTGGCGAAATAGTCTGCGTGAGTTTTGGCTGCTGCATTTTCTGGAAGGGACTGTGATTTGGCTGCTGCGATGGGCTAGTTACAGTGATGGGCAGTGTAGTCCGCACTACGCCTAGCGGTTTAGCCGCAGACAGGGCTCCTGGTTTCCTGACGAGATCCGGAGCTGCCGGTTGCTGGAGACATTGCTGGACAAAGAGCTGAGAGCTCGGTGTCTGAATCCTTAAGGCGGGGAGACTTCGCTGGTGGGAAGAAAAGAGTTTGTGACAACAACAAATGACATTTGTGTAGCCCCCCACCACACCTTTCACGTCCGGAGGACATGCCAAGGCACTGGACAGTTGAGGATTTGCACCTGAGCTGGGGGTTAGGATCAGGAGGGGTGGAGGGCACGGAGGGTGGGAGTAGGAGGCTGACCAAAGACAGGAGGGTCCTGAGACGGGTCTTCAAGGACGCAAGGGAGGAGGCGAGGTGAAGGGACTGTGGGATGGAGTTCCAAAAGGTTGGGGGCAGAGAGGTTGAAGGCCACCCGCCGATGGTGGGGCGGGCGGTGCAGGGGACGTGGAGGCAGGCCGGAGCGGAGAAGTTTCCAGGTTTCTATGGACGGACCAGCAAGAAGGAAAGGAACTTTTCAAGGTCACTTTCCGCCTGTTCCAGGGTTGAGGAGAACATTTCATGACGACTTGATGCTATATCAAATGCAAAGATTATTTCTGTTTTTACCTGATCTGTCAACGGTAGAGGCAGAAATCATAAGTGTGTAAGCGTGAGTGTGTGTATGTGTGAGTGTGAGCATGTGTGTGTGCGTGCGTGTGAGCATGTGTGAGCATGTGCGAATGAGCGTGTGCGAGTGAGCATGCGTGTGAGCACACGCACGTGAGCGCGCAAGTGAGTGAGCATGTGTGTGTGTGAGCGTGAGCAAGAGTGAGTGTGGGTGTGCGTGTGTGAGCATGTCTGTGAGCATAAGCATGAGAGCGTGAGTACGTGTGAGTGTGAGAGCACGTTTGAGCACACGAGCGGGTGAGTGGGTGAGTGCGTGAGTGAGTGGGTGAATGCGTGAGCGTGTGAATGTGTGAGCGTGTGAATGTGTGTTTGTATGAGTGCGTGTGTGCGTGAGAGCGTGTGTATGTGTATGTGTGTCTGTGTGTGTGGGGGGGGGGGATTGGCTTGGGCTCTAGTGGTATTTTGTAGATAATAAAGATTGATAAGTTTGATATCAATGTGATATTCAGGATTCTGTCACCAACAACTCACCAATGAGACGTGGAAACAGAGCCCTCTCGTGGCGAGGAGTGGGTACTTTCAAGACTGAGGTGGACAGATTTTTGTTAGTTCAGGGTATCGAGGGATATGGGGCAAATGCGGGTATTTCGGAGTTGAGGTTACATATCAGCCATTATCTATTAGAATGGCAGAACAGGCTCAAGGGGCTGAATGACCTAATCCTGTTCCTACTCCTGCTTGTCAGCCTTCCCAACTCTTCCCCCCACAAGCCGCAGATCATCCAGAACTCTGCAGCTCGTGTCCTCTCCCGCACCAGGCTCCGTGACCCTATCACCTCAAACCCCTCGCCTAGCTCCACTGGCTCCCCATCACACAGAAGATAGAATTCAAAATCCTCGTCGTCGCCATTAAGGCCCTCCACGGACTTGCTCCTCCCTACCTCTGTGACCTGCTAACCCCATATCAACCTGTCCACTCTCTCCGCTCTCAGGCCTGCTCCACATCCCCCGCCCGGCCCCATCATCGGCGGTCTGGCCTTCAGCCTCTCTGCCCCCACCCTTTGGAACTCCATCCCACAGTCCTTTCACTCCCTCCTACCCCTACCCTCCCTGCCCTCCACCCCTTCTGATCCCAACCCTCAGTTCGGGTCCCAATCGGACTGGGCAGCACCTTGGGATGTCCTCCTGACGAGAAAGGCGCTATACAAATGTAATTTGCTGTTGTCCCTTTGACACCATGCTCTGAGAGACGGTGCACTTTAAATCTTTATGATTCTAGTCTCTCTCTCTCTCTGCACAAGATTTCTGGTCTGCAAAGTCTTCTTTATCCCGACACCTGTGTCTGGCACAAACACTCACCCAGAGGATCCCATAACAGGCCTGAGACAACTAACTGCCCTGTGGCGATGTGCAGATTATTCGGTAGGATTCAAGTCACGTCCGTGCCTGATTTACGGTTTCATTGGGAGATTTAACTCGGACCTGGGCCTGAAGGTCTTTAAACGTGACAAGAGATAATTTCAATGGCAAGGCATCAGCTTCCAGAAGACATGATTGCGAGCTCCGGCAAACAGTAATTACGTCAAAAAAGATGTCGCGCAAAACAATAATAATCCTTGCATTTGATGTAGTGCCTTATCACTTCTTCAAGACGTCTCAAAGTGCTTCACGGAATATACTGTAAAGTGACTGTATATTTTGTTGGCAAACCCAGCAGCTAATTGCACGCAGTGGTTTCCCACAAACAGTCGTGGATTGAGTGAATTTTTTAAAAATGATTATAACTTCCGGAAAAGCGATCCACCAATCGACTAACAACCAGGCTCCCATTTACTGCTAAGTGAACAGAGGTGTGTGGACTAAGGAACCTTACCTACAGTTTCACTCTGCCTGGGAATTGAACTCAGGTCCTCTCGCTTGTGAGGCGAGTGCTCTAACCAATACGCTACAGGACTCCACTCCACCACAACAGCTTGCATTGACATAGTGGTCTTCACAAAGGGCAATGTCTTGGAGGTGAATAAGATGATGAGCAAAGGAGAAGGGGGAAGTGAACTTAGGGGTGGCTGAAGAGGTAGGTTTTAAGGTGAGATATAAGGACAGAGAGAGACAGGAGAGAGAGACAGGGGGGAAAGAGAAGGAGAGCGAGGCAGAGGGATGGAAGCAGAGACAGGGAGGTCGGGGGTGTAGACAAGACCATAGAGGGATTTGAAACATCTCCTTGAAAAGGCAGCACATTAGCTACCCAAAGCCAAAGGTGTCTCCTCCCACGTATGTAAGGCAACTCATACATCCTGACAGTCACAGAACCACACCTCTTCACACAGCACATTCAGGAGTTAGTTACCTTCAGAAAAGGCACAAGGTAAGGCTGTGGCAAAGATTTGAGCTCTTTGTATAACTGGCTCGTGAATTCCTCGGCTTCCATCTTCCCATCCTGGAGAGAGAACAACACATTGAATAAGGGGAGAAACACTGCTCTCTGACAGCTGATCTGATTGAAAGTCTTCGGCTTAGGTTCAGCCTCTCTGCCCCAACTCTACGGAACTCCATCTCACATTCCCTTTGCCTCGCTCCCCCTACTTGCCTCCTTCAACACCTGTCTCAAGACCCTCCTCTTCGACCGCACCTTCGGTCACCCGCCTATCTCCACCCTACTTGCTCTCCACCCCTTCTGATCCCAAACCCCAGCTCGGATCCAAATCCCTGACTGTCCAGCGCCTTGGGACGTCCTGCCGACGTGAGAGGTGCTGTATAAATGTAATTTGTTGTTGTTGTTGTAAGGAAGGCCCCCAGGTTGAAACATCGATCTGTGCAGTCAGCTGATCTATGCTGAAGTGGCTTCCAAGAGAGACAATTGATCTCAGCACCTTGAGCTGGGGATGGGGAGGGGGTGAGAGGGAGGGGAGGGTCGAGAGGGGGAAGGGTAGATGAAATAAAAAGAAAAATAGAGACACAAGCAAATTAGCCAGAGTCCCAGGACGCTTCCTATTCCTGCCGAGTCTGCCATCGCTGGCCGTGACTCGCACTGAAACAACAGCCCTCGGGAGAGGGTCCCGGGGGACCACCAGCTCTCTGCTGCCCGCAGACAGCCACTAATCAGAAGGGAGCTTCAGGGGGGGCTGAAGCAAACTCACAGAACAGAGCGACGCCAGAAATGCACCTCGGCCCTGAGGCAGAGGAGAAGGGGCCAAAATGTGGATCTGTCCCAGGCGTCAATGGCTGATTTTTTTTCTGGGCGGCTGGGTGCCTGATACAGGTGGAAAACCCATCATCGTGCTAAGAGTATCCAAACCAGACTGGGAATTCCATGCATCCCACCTACGCATGGAGATTTCCCTGTGCCTGGAATGCGCACTCTCTCCCAAGACGGACGCATCCTGCTTACTCAATTCCAGTGTATTATGTGCGGAGCCAAGGCCTGGGGACCCCAGAGTGTGTGTTATGGAAACTGCTGGGGTTTAATCAGCTAAACCCCAATAGCTCGTCACTGAGAGCACTATCTGGCAAGCTTCTCGCTGTTTGTCCAGCTGGGACCTGATGTCTTGAGTAAGAGCATTTACAGTGGTCAAAAAGGTGCACACGTTCACTATTCAACCCATAATTTGAAATCAGATTGGACAAGAATAAATAATAATAATCCTTGCATGACCAAATTATTATTATTTGTTATTATTATTATTATTATTAGTTGAACAGGCAGCAAGTGGAAGGACAAGAATTACAAGGAGGCAGAAGGGATCTTACCAGCAGTTTCTGCACTAAGCCCTTGACGTTACTGGCCATTTCCGGGGAGTTATTTCCGCCTGAGGCTAGTTTAATTAACGTAGCCAGGAAGTTTTTGCATTTCTTCACATTTTCCAACGTTTCCTAAAAACAAAAAACACACACATTGATACACAATATGAAGGGCACCCCCCCACACACAACCACATCTCAGCCCACCCCACCCCACACACAACCACATCTCAGCCCAACCCCCCCACCCCACACGCAACCACAGCTCAACCCCCCTCCACACACAACCACATCCCACCCCTCCACACACACACATCCCACCCCACACACACACACAACCACATCCCACCCCACACACACAATCACACCCCACCCCTACACACACACCACATCCCACCTCACACACACAATCACACCCCACCCCCACACACACAATAATAATAATAATAATAATCCTTGCATTTGATATAGCGCTTTTCACGTCGGGAGGACGTCCCAAAGCGCTTCACAGAACACACTGTAAAGTGAATTGACTGTATATTTGTGGGCAAACGCGGCAGCCAATTGCGCACAGCAATGTTCCACAAACAGTCGTAGATTGAAAATGACCAATTTATTATTGTTTTTGGAGGGATTATTATTAGGCTCTGTGTGGAGTAAGGAAACTTGCCCAAGGTTTCGCCCTCTGCTGGGAATTGAACTCAGGTCTCTCGCTTGCAAAGCGAGTGCTCTAACCACTGAGCTGCAGGACTCCCAATCACACATCCCACCCCACACACACACAACCACATCCCACCCCACACACACAATCACACCCCACCCCCACACACACAACCACATCCCACCCCACACACACAATCACACCCCACCCCCACACACACAACCACATCCCATCCCACCCCACACACACAACCACATCCCACCCCACACACAGCCACATCCCACCCCACACACACGCACGCATACACACACACTCACAATCACACCCCACCCCCACACACACACAATCACACCCCACCCCCACACACACCACATCCCACCCCACACACACGCACGCATACACACACACACACGCACAATCACACCCCACCCCCCCACACACACAACCACATCCCACCCCACACACACCACATCCCACCCCACACACACAACCACATCCCACCCCCCCACACACACACACACGCACGATCACACCCCACCCCCCCCACACACAATCACATCCCAACACCCCCCACACACACAGCCACATCCCACCCCACCCCACACACACACACAATCACACCCCACCCCCCCCCACACACACACAGCCACATCCCACCCCACACACAACGGCAACGGAAGGCCCCTGGCACCTGTGGAACCGTACACCAGGGAGGGACTCTGAATCACATGCCGAGCTGAGGGGGAGAGATGGGAGGGGGGGGGGCAGATAAAGCACTTAATAAACTAAGGCTGTGTTTGTCCCATTGTGGAGTGCTGTAGTGTAGTGATTAGAGCACTCGCCTCGCAAGCGAGAGAATCTGGATTTGATCCCCAGGCAGGACGAAACGTTTGGCAAAATTTCCTTACTCCACACACCTCTGTTTACCCAGGAGTAAGTAGGAGTCAGGCTCCGCCAACGTTAAGTGCTCTGAGACGCTACCCTGTGTGGTGGTCGCTCTATAAGTGCAAGCTGTTGTTGAACCCAGTTGCTAGTCAATTGGCGGATTGCCTATTTGGGGGTAATAATCCCTGCAGAGATCATTTTTTAAAACTAAATAATAATTTGGTCACTCTGCAATCCACAGCTGTTTGTGGGACACTGCTGTGCGCAATTGGTTGCCACGTTTCACCCACAAAATACAGTCAGTTTTTGATTTTACAGTCTATTCTTTGAAGCCCTTTGAGACGTCTCGAAGACGTGATAAGACGCTATATCAAATACAAGGATTATTATTATTATTATTCTTATTAAGTTGGTGTTTGCCCCATTTGCCAAGTTTACCAGAGACGTGTTGCTCTGAGTGGCGGTGGCGGTGCTGGGCCTCTCTGGTGGTGTCACGGTTGGTTTCTGGGGCAGCGTCGATACAGCCCTCGCCGGGATACCCGCTCTCACCACTGCTACAGGCGTTCCTCCTCCTGTACTGGGAGCCTTAGCAAACAAGACAGTCCATCAACGCCTGCCAAATCTAAACACTTCATTGTTTGTCATTCGCAAGCAAGTTCGTACACCCAGAGGAAACTCGAAAATACCCCCCACTCCAACCCCCCTCCCCCAAAGTGCTTAGAGATGTCTCGACAACATGACAAGGAGTTATGTCAAGTGCAAAGGACTATTATTTATAGATAATGGCTCGCTTCTAAATAGAGCAGAAACCGGGTGTGCTGTATTTCTGGTTAGGGGCGGGTCCACTCTCGCCCCCCCCCCCACACCCTCCACCCCACAAGTGAGACAGTACTTTATCGATGGATGCCAGAAAAGGAGGTGTCAGCTTGGCTCAGCCCAGTTGGTAGCACTCTCGCCCCTGAGTCAGAAGGTTGGGGGTTCAAGCCCCACGTCAGGACTTGGAAATCACGGTCTAGGCCGACACTCCAGTGCAGTGCTGGGGGAGGGCTGTTGCAATGTTGGAAGGTGTTATCCTTCGGATGAGACCTGATTGTCCGGGTGAACGTTCCGTTTTTCTGGGGGTCCAGGATAACGGCCGTCACTTGCTTTACGACTGTTTGTGGGAAACGGTTGAGTGCAAATTGGCTGCCATGTTCGTCCTCACGGCAGTCACTCCACTTTGCAGTAAATCCTGTGAAGCGCTTTGAGGTGTCCTCCCAATATGAAAGGTGATGCATCAGATGCAAGGATTATATATTACAATGTGATCGCTGAGACATTGAAGTGGAACAGTATTGTTCAGTCTCCATATCCCAAGCCATTTGTGTACTATTTAATTCCCTTCGACTTAACACTCTCCTCCTCTCTCTCTAATGGCTTTCTAATGTTCCTATTCATTAAGAACCAACATTCAGGAGTTCTAACCTCCTAATATTATTCCGGCCTACATCGGAGGTGTTTTGCTCTGTCAGCCTCCCATGGATCATTGCTCACTCACTGTCTTCCTGCCAACCTCTCCACGGGTGTTATCCTAATAAACTGTTTACCCAGCCCTGTACTCCCCAAGGGCCAGTGAAAGCTTCCAGAATCTCAACAAAGTTTTCTTCGCGAGAGAATATTTTGTGGAAAATAATACTCTATATCTGAGCTCGCCTCGCGAGCGAGAGGACCTGGGTTTGATTCCCAGGTGGGGCAAAACCTTAGGTAAGCTTTCTGACTCGACATGCCTGTGATGACCTAACAACCAGTAGAAACCCAGTTGTTAATTGATAGGCAGATCGCTTTCCAGGGGTAATATAATAATCCCTCAAAAAAAAGCGGTCACTTAATCGACAACTGTTTGAGGGACACTGACGTGCGCAAAATGGCTGCCGCGTTTTGCCCACAAAATACACAGTCAATCTGCTTTACAATACGTTCTGTGAAGCGCCCTGAGATGTCTAAATGACGTGATAAGGTGCTATATCATATGCAAGTATTATTATTATAATATAGCAGTTTTCACGACAGGAAAAAGTGCTCAACGACGTATTTATTAAAGTCTTATTCAAAGCCTTGCTTCTGCCTCTCCGACAAAGTTGCACCCAGTTCCTTTGAGCGTCAGCTTGGCTCAATTGGTAGCATCTCGCCTCTGGGCTGTGGGTTCAAGCCCCATCCTGGGCCTCTCTCAAACTCATAGCCCAAGCTGACAGTACAGGGAGAGCACTGCACTTTTAGGTGGTGCCGTCCTTCACATGAGACATGATGTCATTCATGCTCCCGTGTGCCCTTTCTTGAGATGGATACTAACATTCCCACTCTAGTACTTGGAAAGAGAAGCAAGATTCTCCCGCTGGGTTTCCTAGCTAACAATTGCGCAGATAAATTGGTCATTCACTTCACGGCTGTTTTTTGGAATTTTGTTGTGTGCAAATTGTTAGCATTTGACAGTCATCCCCGTGAAGCACTTTGAGTTGTTTTGACACACTACAGACTCACACACCCCAGGTCACCGCATCTTCGCTTCAGGTCCACCATCTGCTACAAAGTGCTTGAGTTCTTCATTGCCAATATAAAGCAGTCAATAATCCAACCACACCGCTAATTGCCCTGCAGAAACTAGCTGCTGTGTTTGTCCACAAAACACACAGGCACTATACATTACAGTTAATCCTGGGAAGCATTTTCAGACGTTCTCTCCGTGTGAAAGGTGCTGTATGAAATGCAAGGATTGTTAGTATAACAGCACCCAGAGGTTTTCCGACCGTGTGTTAGCCTGGCTCAGTGATAGCACTCTCGCTTTCTGAACCAGAAGGTTGTGGGTTCAAATGGCTGCTGCATTTCGTGTCCTGGCCAACAATCCCCCCCGTCCCCCCACCACACACCCAAGTAAAATAGGTCATTTGTTTTGTGTCGTTTGTGGAACATTGCTGTGCACAACTAGGCAACTGCCTACAAATTCTGTGAAGGGCTTTGAGATGTCCTCCCAACCTAAAGGTGCTGTATCAAATGTTAGGATTATTATTATTCTCTCCTAAACATTCTTTATGATGTTGATGCATTTCCCCATCTACTAGTCTCATTTAATAATAATAACATAGCTCCGAGGTGCTATCCCATGTGAAGGGCGCTAGACAAATGCAAGCTGTTGTTAATTATTATTCATTGTTAATAATGATATCTAAGTAAATGTAATTCCCTTTTACTTATGCTTCAGTAGTTTGTGAGCACACACGTTCACTACCAATAGCTGCTGGTGTATCCCGACACCCCAAGGAGAACAGCCATTTGATTCCCCCCCTCCGCCCCCCACCATCATACTCCAATTATTTTTTTGTGGGGAGTGGGGGGTTATTCAATCCACGACTGTTTGTGGGACAATTGGCTGCCGTGATTCGCCCAGAAGATACACAGTCAACCCACTTTACAGTATATTTTGTGAGAGGTCTCAACAATATGATAAGGCGCTACATCAAATGCAAGGATTATTATTATCATGATATTAAGCTGCTTTTTAAATGAATCCCAGTGTCCTGGCCTCAACCTGTTTCAGTTGTTGAATACCTTCTGGATAAAGAGAAACTTCCTGAAATTCCTCTTTACAACCTAAAGCTATGTCCTCATGTTCTACTGTCTGACTGTATCCTAACTATGATCTGCTTGATTGTATTCAATTTGCTTGCCAGGAAGAGAAAGCATCTGGTCCTCTCCTCCCCCAACATGGTACAAGCTAAATGATCCAGATATACAGCACAACACAACGCAAGTAACATTTATAGAGTGTGTTTCATGTCGGGCAGACGTCTCAAAGCTCTTTACCCTATTGAATGGGCACCCAAGAAGGTGTGGGAGCCGAGAGGGCTGGGGTGGGGCAAGATGACCAAAAGTGCGGTCAAAGAGGTATGTTTTTGAGACAAGCCTTGAAATGAGGGCAGGGAAGCAGTGAGTTGTTCAGAGTTTATCAAAATTGTTCGAGCCCAAAGTAAGTTACATTTGTCTAGCGCCTTTCACGTCGGGAGGACGTCCCAAGGCGCTGGACAGTCAGGGATTTGTGATGGTGATCAGCAAACTCTCACCTGGACCAGTGTAATGCGATGGGCAGCACCTGCCGTCTGATGACTGCAGGTTGCATCTGCTTCACCTGCTGAACAGTGACTGACTTCACCTGCTGACCCATGGGCGGATTCACCTGCTTTGCGATGATCTGAGCTCCGGTGGCCTGTAATAATACTTGTATTTGATACAGCGCCAAATCACGTCTTCAAGACGTCCCAAAGCGCTTCACAGAATATACTGTGCAGTGAATTGACTGCATATTTTGTGGGCGAAACGCGGCAGCCAATTGCGCATAGCAGCGTCCCACAAACAGTCGTGATTGAGGGACCGGGTTATTATTTCTTTTTTATTTATTTGGAGGGTAAATCCTGTGAAGTGCGTTGAGACGTCCTCCCACTGTGTCAAACGTGAGGATTGTTATTCTATTACATAATAATGTACAGAGGAATCAACAGCAGTGGCAGGACTTGCGCATAGAGCGGCTGCCCGGCTACACAGCGCGGCGAGTGACACAGCAGAGACACTTCCTGATTACAGTGCGACACACAGGAATTGATGTCGGGAGCGACCAGACAAGTTAGAATTCGGCCATTTTCAATGCTCCGTTTTAACACGTTTTTAACGTGCGTCAGTTTAGGAATTCGATCCCCAGAGTCCGGACTATATTAGGGTCAACCTGTATATTCGAAGTGAACCTCTGTCGAAATGTTACCTGCACAGTAGAGATTCGGACTGATGTCATGCTAGAGGTCGCTGTGGGAAAGGCAGTCCCGGATGCCTGAGCCTGAGCCCGAGCCCTAGCCTGAGCTTGGGCAATGGCTTTCTGTGGGACCAGCACTAGTTGCCCACTGTCACTTCGGGCAAGCACCATACCTACACAGAGCAAACAAATCAGTTAAAGGCACATGGGCGACGGAGTATTTTAAGATCCTAACACTCATCTTCAAACCCCTTCATGGCCTGGCACCTCCCTACCTACCTCTCCGACCTGCTAACAACCCAACCCATTACCCGCTGCCACCACTCAACTGGTCCCCGTACGTCAATCGTGCCCTCTGTTCCACCATTGGTGGCCACACTTTCAGCCTGTACGCCCCAAAACTCTGGAACACTCATCCTTTATCCCTCTGCATTGCACCCTCTTTCCCCGTCTTCAGATCGCGCCTGAAGACCTTGTTCTTTGACTTCTGAAAGCAGAAACAGGAATGTGAGGCGGAAAGAGCAATGGGAAGAGATAAGGAGCAATGGGAAGCTTTTGTTGAAGAGACAGAGAGCCGTGTGGCATCACAAACGCACGGAAGGGAAACTGCATAAACAATTAGTGGCTTAATTTCCACATACGAACAAAAACACTGAACACCATTTGCCAATTTTGCTCCAGGAAGGTTCTCTTTCCTTTTGTTTTTCGTGGAGCACCAAGAATAGCTAAACTATTCATTGACTACAGTGTTCAGCAAAACTGGTGACCCTTTGTTGGGCTCAAGAAAGGATGAAACGTGGACTCCTTGAAATACAGCAACAACTTGCATTTGACGTTAAATTTAACGGTGGGACTTTCAAGATTATTCAACTTGTTGAATTAAAAATTCCTTTTTTAAAATATCAACAGGGCTCAGCTGGTAGCACTCTCATCTTGTTAAAGATCCCACAACACTACTCGACAGAAGGGAATTTAGCTTTCCTTCTTGAGGGGCGCTACATAAATGCAAGTTGTTGTTGTTGCTTCTGCATTCACCACAAACTTTCCGGATCTGACATTTCCGAAAATCTGACGCCGGTTAGTTATTTTTGAAAATCCATAAAACTTGCCAGCCCGTTCACCTACAAAATACAGTCACTGCATTTGACAGTAAAATATTCGATGAAGCGCTTTTGACACCCTCGACGACACGATAACGACACTGGCTGGATCGGACACAAGCCTCACTGTAGCCTGGCGTTCACAAAGGGAAACTGTAATCTTCCCATCGCACTGGCATAGCAGTGCGCTAAGGAGATCAGGGATTTATCTGGTGATCACAGGGGCAATGAACAGCTTAAGGACTGTGAGTGCAGTCAATTGTGTATTCGATAGATTTACATTAGAGCTTCAGATTTTCGGTTCTAGCCAAAACCCCAGATAAAACACCTCCAATATATAAATATATTATATATTAAAAAAACAGTGTTTATCCAATAAACACCATAAAAACCCCATAAACGGTTATCTGTCCTGACACCAACCACCTGCCTCCCTCTTTCTCCATTTCTCCCCTCCACATACACCAGGAATGGCTGAACCTTCCATTAAAATTGGACACCCACCACCCGATTTGTAAAAATCCAAATAACGCTAAAACTAAAAATAAACCCAGAGAAATGATTTTTTTTTTTAAACGCTGAAAAACAGAAGCCCTATTTAACATCCAATTTTTTAGCAAGGCGTCAACTACTGAGGTCAAAACCTTAAGCAAGTTTCTTTACTTACTCCACACATAAGAATTTGCGAGGCAAAAGAAAACCAAGGTCCATCTAGTTCGCCATCCACCATCCTGGCAGTCCCTTGACATGTCGTGTCCCAAATTCTACGCTGTATCCGGAGATATTATTTTCCAGCAGAAATCTATCTAATTTGCCCTCGAAACAAATAACATTTACTGCTTCCACTGTCTCCCTAGGGAGCCTGTTCCAATATAGCCTAGCATCTGGTTTGCCTTACTCACTGTTGGGATAACTTCATTTCATTATCAATCAGGACCCTCAGATCCTTTTCATTTTCTGTGCAGATTATTTTCTTACCATTTAAATAACAGTCCCTTCCTGGATTTTTGTCCCCACATGAAGCACTTTGCATTTCTCTACATTAAATTTCATCTGCCACAGCCCTCTGTTCACCAAGCACTAAGTAGGAACCCGGTCGCTAGTCGATTCATAGGTCGCTTTCCGGGGGTAATAATCCCTCCAAAAGAAATAAATTTGGTCACTCAACCTACGATTGTTTGCGAGACACTGCTGTGCGCAGCTGGCTGCCGCGTTTCACTCACAAAATTCACAGTCAATCCACTTTACAGTATATTCTGTGAACGTCTCAACGATGTGATAAGGCGCTTTGTCAAGTGCAAGGATTATTATTATTGTTGAGTGTAAAACGTCCCCCCAAAACTGCCTCCCGCCCTCCACATGGGATATTAATCGGAGCCTCAGAAGAGTCCTCCTATTGTTCCAGTGTGAATGTCTACCTCTGATGCACCACCTTTAGGTTTTTTCCCTGAGAAAGACCCTGATTTAATGCTCCAAGGCCCATATCCACAAAATTACTCCAAACCAGCTTGACTAAGACCCCGACATCTGCCAGAAGCAGATCACCAGCTGCTCACTATCGACTTGATATAAATTCAGCATCTACAACGCCATGAGTCAACCAAGTAGAACTTCAGCCCAGCACTTACTGAGCTTTCGCCGAGACATGCTGTGTGTACGTGGGCTTTAGTTGTACGTAGGAGGGAGGGTGGAAAGGAGAGAGAAAGCTGGTCCCAGCCCACGATTAAATGAATTATAATAATAATTCTTGCATTTTGATATAGCGCCTTATCAAGCTTTCGAGACGTCTCAAATCGCTTCACAGATTAAACTGTAAAGTGAATTCACTGTATATTTTGTGGGTGAAACGCAGCAGCCAACAGGCGGACGTTAAAGATCCTGTGACACTATTCAAAAAGAGCAGGGCGTTTCTCCTGGTGCCCTGACCAACAATTCCCCACCCAATATAATTGGTCATTCCCTTCACTGACGTTTGGGGGACATTGACAGGTTCAGATTGGCACTTGAAGATGTCCTCCTGACATGAAAAGCATTGAATCAAACGGAAGATCTTTCTTTCTGACTCTCTCCCTCGATTCCTTGCCAGTGAATGGCAAACTCAGCACAGACTGGCAATTGGACTGGGGAGCTTTCTAGGTCTGTATGGCTCAGTTTGACACAAAGCAATGAATGGCTTTATTTATTACACCATTGGCTTTCTAAACAACGGACTACCGAGTTGTGAAGGCTGTACAAAATGATTATCCACGAAATGAAATCAGCCGGAAAGTTTGTGGACATTATGTAACTGGGATACTGTATTTCTGAGAAGCAAATCGCAAGGAAAAAGGCATTTTTTTTTAAAAAAGAAAAAGATAAGAGATGAAATTGACTGATAGTTGAGTATGGCAATAATTCAGCTCCTGGCAATCAACTTGCAATCTCTTGTCAACTACGTACCCTTACAAAATAGGAAGAATAGCTCAATATAATTTATATCTATACAGAGCCTTTCACGTCAGGAGGATGTCTTAATGGTCATGGTAGCTGGGTCCTCGAGCTGGGGGGGTGGGGTGGGGGGAGTTCATATTTATTGTGCTAAGACAAGCTCCAATTTCCTCTGCATTCTCTGGTCCTTCAGGCAAACCAGCAAACCAGCCACTGTGACAAGACAGTTTTCTTGCCCAAGGATTCAATTCACTTGTGCTACCATCAACTGCTGACTCACAAATATACAGATAAGACCACCAAGTTGATTTTTTCCCCCTTCCCCTCCCCTCCTTTTCCCTCTGTCCATCTCCATTTCTCCCTTCCTCTCCCTCCCTCTTCCTCTCCCTCCTACACCATGACATTTAAAAACAAATTTGATAACTATTTGAAGGGAAATATTGAAAAGCTACAAAACATGTACGTGCGAGCAACATAGGTAGATCAGCTGAATAGTCTCTTCCTCCCAGCCATTTTCATCCAGGTATCAGTCTCGCTCAGTCAGTAGCGCTCTCTCGTCTCTAAGTCAGAAGGTTATAATACTACTACTACTATTAATAATAATAATCCTTGCATTTGATATAGTACCTTATCCCATCTTCAAGACATCTTAAAGCGCTTCACAGAATATACTGGAAAGTGAATTGACTATTTTTGTGGGCAAAACGCGGCAGCCAATTGTGCACAGCAGTGTCCCACAAACAGTCGCGAATTGAGTGACCAAATTTTTTTTTATTATTTATTTTTGAAGGGATTATTACCCCCCTGAAAAAGTGATCCGCCAATCGACTAACAACCGGGTTCCTACTTGCTGCTAGGTAAACAGAGGCGTGTGGAGTAATGAAACTTGCTTAACGTTTTGCCCCGTGTGGGTATCGAACCCAGATCCTCTCGTTTGCGATGCGAGTGCTCTAACCAATACTCTACAGGACTCCACCAGGTTGAGGTTTGAAGCCCTACGTCAGGACCTTGACCGCACGCAGTCTAGGCTGACGTTCCAATTCAATGCTGGTAGACCCTGCACTGTTGGAGGTGCTGCTATTCAGATGAGGCAATAAACCGAAGTCCCGTCTGTGCCTCTTCAGGTGGACGCTAAAGATCCTCTGGCGCTCCGCAAAAACAGAAGGTTGTTTCTGGCCGATGTCCTGGCCAACAATTCCCCCCCCCCCCCACCCCCTCCACCACCTCATAAAACTGGTCATTCGTTTCATAGTGTAGTACACTGCTGTGCACAAATTGGCTGATACATTTGCCTACAAAATACGCAGTCGCTACACTCCACAGTAAAATCCTGCATAAATACCTTGAGCCATCTTCCCGAGGTGATCGGGCGCTGTATTAAATGCAAGATTTGTTATTGTAAGACAACAGGGGAGAGACATTTTCTCCATCTATTGCTTCTGTGCAGCTGAATGCACATCCTCGCACTCTGACGCCATAGCTCTTGAATGAGCATCCCCCAGGTGTAACACTGTGCAACACAAACCTATTTATAAAACACAGAGAGAACAATCCTGGAGACATTTTGTTCCAACACCTGCAATGCTGAAAAAGAAAGCTTACTGTACTTGGGCTCTCAGAATTCAGAATTTAAGAGCTGCTCATTTTGTTACAATTATCACCAAAAAGATAGCTCCTTATAAAACATCCTGCATTTCCAAGAAGAACATTCAAATTCTGTTCCCTTCCAGCAATGTGGGAACATTTTGTATTTTTTAAAAAACGTTTTGAGGGATCACCAATTATTGAAATCATTGACAATAACAAGTTACTTAAAAAGAGAAGGGACCTTATCGTTTGGTATCTTGGTTAACAATCCCCGGGTAAAAATCGGTCATTCAATTTTTGACCAATTTTTATTTGGGGATTTTTGTGGAGTCCTGCAGCGTAGTGATTAGAGCGCTCGCCTCGCAAGCAAGAGGATCTGGGTTCGATTCCCGGGCAGGGCGAAATGTCAGGCAAGTTTCCTGACTCCATGTGCCTCGGTTTACCTAGCAATAAGTAGGAACCCGGTTGTTAATCGATCGCCGGATGGCTTTTCTGGATGTAATAAATCCCCCTCAAGTCAAAAAAAATGAAAGGACAATTTAGGCATTTAATCCACGACTGGTTGTGCGCAATTGGACAAGTCAATTTACATTATTATCTGTGAAGCGCCTCAACGACGTGTTAAGGCGCTATATCAAATGCAAGGATTATTATTATTTACTTCACGGCTATTGGAGGGACACTGCTGTGCTTAGGCTGCTGCGTCCACCCACAAAATAAGACACAAATTCACGTGAAACTCTTTTGAGACATCTCAATTGCATGATAAATCGCTGTAACAAATGCAACGATTATTTCCTTCTGCTGGATCTTCATTGAACGTTTTACGGCCGGCCAACAAAATACACAGTCACTACACTGCACAGTTCAATCCCGTGAAGCGTTTTGAGAATGGGCAGTTTTAAGTACTCGCTGAACCACAGGCTGCCTCACACTTGTTCTTTGATCGAATCCATGGGTATTCCGGCCCCAGAGAATTCCCAGCAATCCGTTATTAACTCGAGTCGCTTTCAGGTTGGGATTTGGTGTTGGGTGACACTCGAGGATGGAGTCAGTCTCTCGCATTGTACAATTCAACTGCAGACAAGGCAACACGGACTTTCCGAATGTTAATAAATATAGTAATAATAATCCTTGCCTTTGACGCAGCACCTGAGCGGATCGTCGAAACATCTCAAAGCACTTCGCAGGATTTAATGCTGTAAAGTTGACGAAACTTTTAACGAGCTTTCGGGGACACTGTTTTTTTTTAAAACATTCGATAAAAAGCTAACTAGTGTTTTGTAACATTGACAATGTCACCAGTTTACAGTGTACCGGTCAGGCTGCCCAGGTGGTAGCACTCTCACCTCTGTGTCAGGATGACATCTGGACTTTGATGAAGGCTTTCCAGACCACCTCCCGACGTTCTAGAGTTCAAAATCCTCGTCCTGGCCTTCAAGGCTCCTCTCTACCTCTGTGATCCACTACTTCCATATCAACCTGTCCGCTCTTTCTGCTCGGCAGGTTCCGGCCTGCTCCGTATCCCCTCCCGCTCCGCCCCACCGTCGGCGGTCTGGCCTTCAGCCTCTCTGCCCCCATCCTTTGGAACTCCATCCCATAACATAACATGTAGGAGCAGGAGTAGGTCATTCGGCCCTTCGAGCCTACCCCACCATTCAATCATGGCTGATCTTCTAATCTAACTCCAGCTAATAACCTGACCCTGCCTTATCCCCATATCCATTAATCCCTTTCGCAATAAGAAATCTATCTATCTCAGTCTTGAATATGTTCAAGGACTGAGCATCAACAGCCCTTTGGGGTAGTGAGTTCCATACATTCACCGCCCTTTGAGTGAAGAAGTTCTTCCTCAACTCAGTGCGAAAGGGCTGCCTCTGATTTTAAGGTTGTGACCCCTGGTTTTAGTTTCTCCAACCAGGGGAAACAATCTCCCGCTATCTACTCTATCATGCCCTTTGATGATCTTATAGGTTTCTATAACCTCCCCTCTAATTCTTCTATATTCTAGAGAATATAGGCCCAAATTGGTCAGCCTATCCTCGTAACGCATCCCCTTCATCCCTGGTACTAACCCAGTAAATCTACACTGAACCCCCTCCAAGGCAAGTACATCCTTCCTTAAATAAGGAGACCAAAACTGCACACAGTATTCCAGGTGTGGTCTCACCAGGGCCCTATACAGTTGCAGCAAGACCTCCCTACCTTTATACTCTAATCCTTTCATAATGAATGCTAACATACCGTTCGCTTTCCTAATTGCTGCTGCACCTGCAGACTAACTTTCTGTGATTGGACACCCAAGTCCCTCTGGACGCTAACACATTCCAATCTCTCCCCGTCTAAAAAATAAGCCGCTCTACTGTTTTTGCTACCGAGGTGGATGACTTTGCATTTCCCTTCCCTCCCACACTCCCTTCGCCTCGCTCCCACCCTCGCCTCCTTCAAAGCACGTCTCAAGATGCTCCTCTTCGACTGCACCTTCGGTCACCCTCCTACCCCTACCTCCACCTGGTCCTCCACCCCTCCTGATCCCAACACCCCACCACCCCAGCTCGGGTCCAAATCCCTGACCCTCCAGAGCCTTGGGACGTTCTCCCGAGGTGTCATTTTGTATAAATGTACACTTTTAACAGGTAGAAGTTACATTTAAAGTTAAAAAAAACTTCTAAACGTTAAATGCAGTACGTGTCAATGTATTACAATTTGCAGTCTCGGGCAATTAATAATTCACAAGCTGAGAAAAGCAAAGGGCTGTATATATATATTGGTTTTTTTTGGGTGGGTGGGGGGTGGTGAGAGGGGAAAAAAAGACACTTCACTGAAATGGGTTTGCCCGAGTCAAAAACACAGTAAAACGAAACAGAGAGAGAGGAAGAAAGAAAGACAGTGAGACCGAGAGAAACCAAGGAGGGAGCATTATGTAACCATGGGGACTTATGGAAGGTATTCTTAACACATGTCTGATTGCCCTCACACGTATATACACACACAACACACACCAGTCTCACTCACAGTTAAAAAAACAAGTTTGCAAAGTGTGTGTGTGTGTGTGTGCGTGTGTGTATGCGCAAGTCTTTCTCACACTCACAATAAAACCTTCTTTTTAAAAAAAACTGCACAACTCACTCACACACACATAACCGCCTCCACAAAAAAACACACAGCATAAAATCTTCTTTAAAGCAAGTTAGCAAAGTGTGTGTGTGTGTGTGTGTGTGCGACTCACAATATTTTTTAAAAAAAACAAGTTTGCCAAACGTATGCAACTCACCCACAATAAGCACTTTGTTTTAAAAATAAAGACAAGTTTGCAAAGTGTGAGTGCGTGTGTGTGTGTAGTTCTCTTCTTACACTCACAATAAAAACCTTTGGTTTAAAAAAAAGTTTACAAAGTGTGAGTGAGTGAGTGAGTGAGTGAGCGAGAGAGACATGTGTGAGTGTGAGTGAGTGAGAGACATGTGTGAGTGTGAGTGAGTGAGAGACATGTGTGAGTGTGAGTGAGTGAGTGACATGTGTGAGTGTGAGTGAGCGAGAGAGACGTGTGTGTGAGTGAGCGAGAGAGACGTGTGAGTGTGAATGAGTGAGTGAGACATGTGTGTGAGTGAGTGAGCGAGAGAGACGTGTGTGTGAGTGAGCGAGGGAGACGTGTGAGTGTGAATGAGACATGTGTGAGTGTGAGTGAGAGAGACGCGAGTGTGAGTGAGTGAGACATGTGTGTGAGTGAGTGAGCGAGAGAGACGTGTGTGTGAGTGAGCGAGAGAGATGTGAGTGTGAATGAGACATGTGTGAGACGTGAGTGTGAGTGAGTGAGCGAGAGACGTGTGAGTATGAGTGAGCGAGCGCAACACAGTGACTGTCCTTACTTACCTGGAGGGATCTGGAGGTTGTGTACTAGCGATATTGACGACGATGATGATGATGTAGTGATGACGGTGGGGGTTGGGGTCTGGTTGACCAGTGGTGAGGAGATGGCAGTGAGTGTCCTCTGCCCAGCAGTGGCTGCGGTGTTGGTGTTGGAGCCGGGAGACTTGTTACTGTTACCGTTGCTGTTGCTATTGCCGCTGTTGGGGAGCGGGCAGGTGGTGGGCAGCACTGCCGTGCCCCCCAAACCCTGAGCCGCCTGCGCCCCCCGCAGGGTGCCCGGCACAGATTGCACCATGCCAGGCGGCGGAGGCGGAGGGGGAGGCTGGCCCGCCCCAGCCCTGCCGCTTAGCCCTGGGGAGGCGAGGAGAGCTGCCGCGGGCTGCAGGCTGTGCCGGCCAGTGCTGACCACACCGGCAACCCCCGCCTCACACCCATGGCTCCCGCTGCCAGGCTGCACGGCTCCGTGGCCCGGATTGCTATTGCCAGTCTGGGCGTCTCTGTTGCATGTCTGCGGGACTCTATTGCCCGGGTTGCTAATGCCACTCTCGAGGTCTCGAGTGCCTGGGTTGCTACTGCCACTCTCGAGGTTTCTGTTGCCAGACTGCAGGTCTCGATTGCCCGGCTTGCTACTGCCACTCTGGAAGTCTCTGTTGCCCGCGTTGCTAATGGCACTCTGGAGGTTTCTGTTGCCAGGCTGCGGGTCTCTATTGCCCGGGTTGCCAATGCCACTCTCGAGGTTTCTATTGCCCGGGTTGCTAATGCCACTCTTGATGTCTCTGTTGCCCGGGTTGCTAATGCCACTCTTGACGTCTCTGTTGCCCTGGTTGCTAATGCCACTCTCGAGGTCTCTGTTGCCAGGCTGCGGGTCTCTATTGCCCGGGTTGCTACTGCCACTCTCGAGGTCTCTGTTGCCCGGGTTGCTAATGCCACTCTCGAGGTCTCTGTTGCCCGGGTTGCTAATGCCACTCTCGAGGTCTCTGTTGCCAGACTGCGGGTCTCTGTTACCCAGATTGTTGTTGCCAGTCCGGGGGGCTCCATTGCCCGCATTGTTGTTGCCATTCCAAGGGGCTCTGATGCCCGGATTGCTATTGCCAGTCTGGGGGTCTGCGCGGCCAGTCTGGGGGTCATTGTTGTCAGTCTGGGGGTCTGTGCAGCCAGTCGGGGGGTCTGTGTTGCCAACCCAGGGGGCATTGTTGCCAGTCGGATGGTCTGTGTTGCCAGCCCGGAGGTCTGTGTTGCCAGCCCGGGGGTCTGTGTTGCCAGCCTGGGGGTCTGTGTTGCCAGCCTGGGGGTCTGTGTTGCCAGCTCTGTCGCCTGTGTTGCCAGCCCTGTCGTCTGTGTTGCCAGCCCTGTCGTCTGTGTTGCCAGCCCTGTCGTCTGTGTTGCCAGCCCGAGGGTCTGTGTTGCCAGTCGGGGGGTCTGTATTGCGAGCCCAGGAATCTGTGTTGCCAGCCCGGGGTTCAGTATTGCCAGTCTGGAGAACCCTGCTGCCTGGATTGCCGTTGCCAGTGTCAGGGTCTTTGCTGCCAGGATTGCTATCGTCAGTCTGGGCGTCTCTGTTGCCAGGTTGCTGATCTCCGTTGCCCGGATTGCAGTTGACAGTTTGGGGCCCCCCTTTGCCAGTCTCAGGGTTCCTGCCTTCCAGATTGCTGATGCCAGTCTGGAGGTGTCCGTTGCCAGGCTGGGAGTCTCTGTTGCCTGCATTGCTGCTAGTCTGGAGGTAATTCTTGCAAATCTGGGGGTGGCTTTTGCCCGGGTGGCTGGTGCCAGTCTGGGGTGGGCCTTTGTCAGTCTCAGGGTTCCTACTGGGACAGTTGCCAGTCTGTGGTTGTTTGCTGTTGCCTGTCTGGGGGTGTCTGTTGCCCGGATTGCAATCGCCAGTCTGGGGGTACTCACTGTTGCCAGTCTGCGTGTCTCTGTTGCCCGGATTGCAGTTGTCAGGGTTCCTACTGGAACAGTTGCCAGTCAGCGGCTGCTCGGTGTTGCCAGTCAGGGGGTGCTGGGTGTTGCCAGTCGGGTGCTGGGTGTTGCCAGTCGGGTGCTGGGTGTTGCCAGTCGGGTGCTGGGTGTTGCCAGTCGGGTGCTGGGTGTTGCCAGTCAAGTGCTGGGTGTTGCCAGTCGGGTGCTGGGTGTTGCCAGTCGGGTGCTGGGTGTTGCCAGTCAGGGGGTGCTGGGTGTTGCCAGTCGGGTGCTGGGTGTTGCCAGTCGGGCGGGGCCCGGTGCTGGGTGTTGCCAGTCGGGGGGTGCAGGGGTGCTGGTGTTGCCAGTCGGGTGCTGGGTGTTGCCAGTCGGGTGCTGGGTGTTGCCAGTCAAGTGCTGGGTGTTGCCAGTCGGGTGCTGGGTGTTGCCAGTCTCATGCACGTGGTCCGGGGAGTCGGCAGAGGGCATCATGCGGTGAGTGGCATCGCTGGCCTCGCACCTGCCCCGTGGCCTCTCCCCTCTGCCCCGTGGCCTCGCCTCCTGCCGCGCAGTGCCGCGCAGCGCAGTGCCGCGCCGCCCAGCGGGTGCCGGGCGCCGAGAGGAGGCAGCGGCGGGGCGCGGGGCGCGGGAGGCCGGGCTCCCTCTGCAACCGCCGGCTCGCGGGCCGCACTCCGGCTCGCGGGCCGCACTCCGGCTCGCGGGCCGCGCTCCGGCTCGCGGGCCGCACTCCGGCTCGCGGGCCGCACTCGCGCTCCCTCCCCCTCCCTCTCAGCCGCAGCTCACATTCTGCATCGGGGTCGGAGTGAACCAGAGAGCGGCGCGTCTCGTGTCTCTCTCTCTCTCTCTCTCTCCTTCCCTCTCTCCCTCCTCTCCTCTCCTCTCCTCCCTCTCTCCTCTCCTCTCTCTCACACTCCCTCTCTCTCTCTCCTCTCTCTCCTCCCTCTCTCTCTCCTCTCTCCTCCCTCTCTCTCTCCTCTCTCCTCCCTCTCTCTCCCTCTCTCTCTCCTCTCCTCCCTCTCTCTCTCTCCCTCTCCTCTCTCTCTCCCTCTCTCTCTCCTCTCCTCCCTCTCTCCCTCTCTCTCTCTCCTCCCTCTCTCCCTCTCTCTCTCTCCTCTCCTCCCTCTCTCCCCCTCTCTCTCTCTCCTCTCCTCCCTCTCTCCCTCTCTCTCTCTCCTCTCCTCCCTCTCTCCTCTCCTCCCTCTCTCCCTTTCTCTCTCTCCTCTCCTCCTTCTCTCCCTCTCTCTCTCTCCTCTCCTCTCCCCCCTCTCTCTCACTCTCTCTCCCCTCTCCTCCCTCTCTCTCTCTCCTCCCTCTCTCTCTCTCCTCTCTCTCTCTCCCTCTCCCCCCCTCTCTCTCTCTCCTCTCCTCCCTCTCTCTCTCTCCTCTCCTCCCTCTCTCTCCTCTCCTCCCTCTCTCCTCGGCTGCAGTCAGTGGCTTCTGTCGCGCACAGGTGGAGCTGAGAGAGGAAGCGTCTGACACATGACTCCCCCTCTCTCTCTCTATCTCTATCTCTCACACTCTCTCTCTCTCTCTCTCGCACACTCACCCTCTCTGATTCACTCTCTCTCTCTCACACTCACTCTCTCTCTCTCTCTGAGGGGAGTTTTTCTTCGAGCAACTTGAGAGTGTGTCTGACTCTCTGTGTAATTCTGTCTCTCTCTCTCTCTCTCTATATATATATATATGTATCTCTCTCTCTCTGTATATCTCTCTCTGATTCTGCCTCTCTCTCTCTGTATAGCTCTCTCTGTATCTCTCTTTCTCTACCTCCCTCCCCCTCTCTCCTCTCTATATATGTATATCTGCCTCTCTCTCTCTCTCTGTATATCTCTCTCTGTATCTCTCTCTTTCTCTGCCTCCCTCCCCCCCTCTCTCTCTCTATATATATGTATATCTGCCTCTCTCTCTGTATATCTCTCTCTGTATCTCTCTCTTTCTCTGCCTCCCTCCCCCCCTCTCTCTCTCTCTATGTATATCTGTCTCTCTCTATATATATATCTGCCTCTCTCTCTATGTCTCTCTCTCCCTCTCTCTCTGTGTATATATATCTGCCTCTCTCTCTATGTCTCTCTCTCTCTCTCTCTCTCTCTATATATATATATCTGCCTCTGTGTATAGATATCTCTCTGTATCTGTCTCTCTGTGTAGAGATACCTCTCTGTATCTATGTATGTTTGTGTGTGTCTCTCTTTGAGTCTATGTCTCCCTGTGACTGCATCCCTCCCCCCCCCTCCTCCCTCTCTCTCTCTCCTTTTACCTCTTTCAGGGGGTTTCTCTAGTGTGGAGGGGATTGTGTTGCAGTTGTGCTCCTGTGTTTTTTACTCACTGCTCCTTCCTCTCTCAATGTGTGTGTGTGTGTGTGAGGAGCAGCAGTGGGCGATGCCTTTGCCACCTCTTATAACAGGAGATGAGCTCAAGGGTTGGGCTGCACTGAGCACAGGAATCTCTCCCACTCCCCCCCCAATGCCAGAGTCCAGGAACGCCTGCAATGGATCAGATCACAAGGGACCGAGCTGGAGACGAGAGCAAGAGGACGATTGCAATATCACGGTCCCAGCTCAGGGCATCAGCGTGAGGCGCTTTATACGCCCGCGTTAAGAAAAACGATCGCAAATTGCTCCCAAACGTAGAGGTTTCAATCCCAGACTGTTCGTGGGACGCTGCTGCGCGCAATTGTCTGCCACGTTTCGACCACAAATATACAGTCGCTCCACTTTACAGTATGTTCCGTGAAGCGCTTTGAGACGTCTGGAAGACCCGATAAGGCGCTACGTCAAAGGCAGGGATTGTTATCGTTATCATTTATGTTTTGAAGTGGGCCGCATTTGGTTGCATTGCTGAAAGAAAATTGCTCTTTGATCTTTAAATTTATCAACTTTCCCGAAAAGCGATCCGCCAATCGACGAACAACCGGGTTCCTACCTACTGCTGGGTAAACAGAGGCATTTGGAGTGAAGAAACGTGCCTAAGGTTTCGCCCTGACCGGGAATCGATCCTGGGTTCCTCTCCCTTGCCAGCCGAGTGCTCTAAGCAACACTCTACAGGAGCAAAGGGCATTGCAATGCCTGGTGAAGCACTAGGCCGTGACCTAGAAGTTGACAGGCTTGATTCCTGCGTTGGTTTAGCTTTCCTGACCCAAGGCAGCAGATGGGGTGCTTATCGTGTCCTCTGCAGCAGTGGGTTGGAGAACAAAAGATCACTGTGCGGACTCCTGCCGGACAGTGCGTACACATGCACCTTGTGTCCAGAAAGGATCAGCTTCCGCTGTGATGTCCGAGGTGGGTCAGTGAATCACCAATTTGTATCTGGGGGAATTGTTGGCCAGGACACCTGGAGAGACTTGCTGAGTCTTAATTGGTCAGTTTAGGAGTGTCCAAACCAGACGCAGAGTTCCACCTATGTAAAGTGAGGTTTGAAGATGGATATAAAGGCGGAATCTCTGCTCACCCCCTTCTGCTCAGCTAACCCAGTTGTGAGTCAATTGGCAGATCGCTTTCCAGGGGTAATGATCCCTACAAAAAAAATTGGTCACTCAATCCATGACTATCTGTGAGACACTGCTGTTTGCAATTGGCTGCTGCGTTTCACCCACAAAATATAGTCAATTCACCTTACAGTATATTCTGTGAAGTGCTTTGAGATGTCTCAATGATGTGATAGGCCCTACGTCAAAAGCAAGGATTAATTTTATTATGACTAGGTCTGGCTTGCTGTGTGTGGCCCGCACTCTCCATGCCACCAATGGTTGCTGAGCCTTCAGTTCTTAGCCTCTTACTTCTCCGCCCTCCAATCGTTTTCTGTCTTAAATCCTACCTCTTTGAACACTCCTACCACCATCATGCCCCACTCTGGGTGTCAACCCCCATCACTGTAAAGCTCTGCAAGATATTTGCTCGACGTGAAAGGTGCTATTTAAAAGCAGTGTTGTTAACTTCTGATAACAGTAATTCTTCCATTTGATATAGTGTCGGTCTTACAATGTCATCGAAACCTCTCAAAACACTTTATAGGATTTTGCTGTGAATTGCGGGGACTGTGTATTTTGTAGGCAAATGGGGCAGCCCGTTTGCGCACAGCAACGTCCCACAAAAATGAACAATTTTAGCTGAGTCATTGTTGCCCGGGACACCGGGAAAAACTTCTCTATTCGAATAACGCATTAACATCCACCTGAACAGGCAGTCGGGACCTCGGTTTAAAGTCTCATCAGAAAGACGGCACCTCTAACAATACAGCACACCTGGAGCTTAGACCAAGTTGAAAGACCCAATGTGGGGCAACCTTCTGACTCGAGAGATGAGAGTGCTTCCGATTGACCCGGGCTGACACACTAAGCGCAATATTTTACAGCACCATGTGTTAGGTAAGGATGAAAAACTTGACAAAATCTATGTTGTATTGATCAGAGATGCTATTTTGCGATTCAATAGCAATAAACTAGTGTGAAGCACTTTGAGATGTCTTAACATGAAATGCAAGGATTAGAAAATACACAGTCCCTGCAATTCACAGCAAAATCCTACAAAGAGCTTGTGTGTCAGCATTATCCTCCCCACCCCCAGAGAAGGGGGTAATTGTTTGTCAGGACACCGAGAGAAACTCTCTTCGAATGTTGCCATGAGATCTTGAGCATCTTCAGCTGAAAAAATCCCATTCAAAAAGGGAGTTTCTCCCAGCCGTCCTGGTCGACAATTCTCCTCCCCGATAAATTTTATCATTCACTTCCTGGCCGCTTGCTGTGAGCAGATCAGCTGCTGCATTCACCCACAACACAATTATTGTGCTTATAGAGAACATCCACAGTAGCGAAGCCTTTTAAGATACCCTAATGTGAAAGAGTAAGAATTATTATACGGTATTTTCTAAGGGAGGCGTGCGTGTATGCGACGAGGGCGTGTTAATGAGGTAACAGTCACCTTCACCTCGCTTTAATCACAGCATAAATTTCCTTGTCTGTACAAAATTTTCCACGTGGCAATAAGGAGATAAAACAGTCATTTAAGCTTTGGTAAAGCAACAAGGCATCCACAGTGATACAATCAATCAAGAGGAGACTTCTAGGCAGAGAGGCTGAAGGCCCAACTGCCGATCGTGGGGCAGGCCGGGCAGGGGACGTGGAGTAGGCTGAGCGGAGAGGTTGACGTGGGGTTAGCAGGTCACACAGGTAGGTAGGGGCAAGGCCATGGAGGGGCTTGAAGGCGAGGATGAGGATTTTGAACTCTGTCCTCTGGAGCTGGGGCCAGGCGAGGTGATGGGCTCACAGAGCAGGTGAGGGAAGAGGTCAGAAGCTGCGGTTCTGGAGCTTGTGAAGGATAAGAGTTAGGACGGCTCAATTGTTAAAAGCACTTGCCTCACACGTGAGGACCTGGGATCGATTCTCGGTAGGACGAAACTGGGCAAGTTTCCTTCCTACACACACCTGTTTACCTAGCAGTAAATAGGAACCCTGTTGTCAATTATTTGGCAGGTCACTTTTCTGAGGGTAATAATCCCTTCAAAAAATAATAATTTGGTCACTTAATCCACGAGTTTGTGGGATGCTGCTGTGCGCAATTGGCTGCCATGTTTCACCCCAAAAAATACAGTCAATTCACTTAACAGTATATGCTGTGAAGCACTTTGAGACGTCTCAACATAAGGTGCTATATCAAATGCAAGTATTATTATTATGACCAATTATAAATCAATAATTTTACATATATATATATACACACACACATACACAAATGCCCTTACATGGAGGAACAGAGTACCAATAGAAACCACGATTTTAAATCTTTATTTGTTATCCGTGAGAAAAATATTTTTTTTGAACCAAATGTAACCACAGCTTCAAATTTGCACAGAAAACAAAGTGTGCAAATCAAAATTATGAGAAATACACCAATCTACACTACAGCTTATCATAAGTCAGAAAATATTGTACTAAATGTTTTGCATTTCTTGATTAAAAAATTACAAATGCAGTGCCCCACAATGTTGTTTACTCTCATCCTCTCGTTCTCTTGAATACCGTCACTCATGCTCCACAGACTCTAGCAGTTCTCTGCTACCTTCCCAAGTGCCCATGCTTGAGAGACAAGCCTTGGGATCAAGTGCTGGCAGGCAGACTATTTAATCAAATTACAACTGATCTTGTTCTGATATCCGCAACATGGATACACAATCACTAGATAGCAACTAGTAAAGGGAGACCGAATGATTTTTCCCCTTTTCCTGCAGTGCGACACAGAATAATTGCAGTACCGTTGGTGAAGTCGACTAACAACACAAACCAAGCTGAACTTGCTTTGCCTGAATATCTCAATACCACACCAGAAAGTATTTACTCATTGTGATGTGAGGTTACATTTACATCCCAGTTTTCCTGAATAAACTATTAATTCCATTCTCAGTTTTAGTAAATCTATAAGTGGCATGATATTTCCTCAACATTCTGGCCTTCATCAACACAAGACTGTAGACTCTCATCAGGCACCATGTGTAATTGCAGAAGTTCACATTACTGGTGCCCTTAATCGTGTTATTAACCACCATTCAAAATCAATCAAAGGCTTTTTATTTGTTCATTCTATTTTAAGAGCAACTGTGCACTTCGCTGTACATCTGACTTTACACATGGTGTATAATAGATGATGCAGTAGGATTGGAGGTTACAGTCCTCCTTTCACCCACATGGTTGGCAGCTCTGAAAAAATCAAGAAAATATTCTTCATATTACTGTATCCTAGCGACTCAATAGCTCTGGAGATTGGTAGCTTTATTTAGAGAAATGCTATATAGTCACAGTAGGGCACTGCATCTCTTGAACCGTATAGTGGGTTTGATGCCAACTCTGCAGTTGCCAAACTCAACTGGATGAAGATTCTCCACTGGGCTGGTCTCAGAACGGACAACAATTTCTAACAAAAGTAACCTGTGGAAATGTGTCATACCACCTCAACCAGAGATGGTGTGGGGCACAGGAGGCACAAGGGAGCGGAAAAGCCCACAGAAAATACCTGAAAATATACAGTCTCTTAGTATGTTGTTTGCCATGCAATTATAAGTTGGTAAGGTACTAAAGTCTATTAGTAGCATACACAACATTGCTATTTGTATATATTTAAGTTGATTTCTTCTGTTTCTTCTTTTCAACTTCTTCTTCTTTCTCCTTTTCAATTTCTGCTACAAATGTTTCTATTTCTTTAGGATCTAAGAGCTGTAAAAGAAAGATTATAGTTTCAGTCATAGCTAAACGCCGCTATTCTTGGCCATATTACTATATCATACTTACTGACTATGACTTTCTGGTAATTAACTTACTGTAATGAATTTGGTTACACATACACATGATCTGTCAGGCACTTTATCAGCACATCAAATCTATGGAGCAATGTGAACAATATCTTGGTTCTGTAGCTCAGGAGCTTTTTTTCCCCCAGAGTTGAATAGGAGTCCTGCAGCTCAATGGTTAGAGCACTCGCCTTGCAAGCGAGAGACATGGGTTCGAGTCCCAGCAGGGCAAAACCTTAGGCAAGTTATCTGACTCCACACGCTTGATAATAATCCCTCAAGAAAAAAAACGTAATACAATTGGTCATTTTAGTCCACGACTGTTTGTGGGACACTGCTGTGCGCAATTGGCTGCTGTGTTTCACCCATAAATACAGTCAATTCCCTTCACAGTACATTCTGTGAAGTGCGCTGAGACGTCTAGAAGACATGAATAGCACTATACCAAATGCAACGATTGCTATATCTGCTACTGGCACCTACGGTCAGATGTTCCAAATATATAAAATAAAACCCATATAAAAAAGTAGTGTTTTTATTGCTTTATGTCAAATCCACTCACTATATTTCCATAGTTTGTCAGTCTAGCTCAGTTGGTAGTACTTTTGCTGCCAAGTAAGACGTTCGTGGATTAAAGCCCACATCGAGATTTGGGGTGTGTTGGCTGCATAGTTGGAGGTGCTGATCCCGGATGAATATAATAATCCTTGCATTTAATATAGCGCCTTACCATGTCCTTGAGAAGTCTCAAAGGGCTTCACAGAATATATTGAAAAGTGGATTGTCTATTTTGTGGGTGAAACGCAGCAACCAATTGTGTACAGCAGGTGTCCCACAAACAGTGGTGGATTGAGTGAACACATTTTTATTTGATTAACTATGATATGATTAAAAAAAATTGGACATTCATTTCATAGCTATATGTGGAACATTCCTGCTGCAAATTGCCTGCAGCATATGTCCATAAAATTCAGTTGTTTCACATTATACCCTGGGAAGTACTTTCCTCTCAAGGTAAAAGATGCTATACGAAATGCAAGAATTATCATATTAACTCATCGCCAATTGAATCTCCACAACAAATGAGAATAAAAAAGGACAGTGAAAGGTTCATAGACAATCAGTTCAACACTTACAATTATTAAGTAGATTATCCTCCAGATACCTTGCTTAAAGCCTTGCTCCCTACACTTTCTATCTTTGATTTGGAGTCAGACAAATTGCTTTGTTCACTGAAGACTCCAACAACAAGCTCTTCAGATTGGATTTTTACATGATAGGAGAAGATCACACATCCTCAGCGAATAAAATTAGTGTAAGGAGCTCTCCAACTGATTTTCAAAAGATCTATCCCCTCCACTAAATAATGGATCCATTGTTTGCATGTTGTGAATAAACAGAGAGGGAGAGAGAGAAAAAAACTTTTCTACTTGATGCTTTAAGATACCTCTCTCTGTTGGCATTTATATTCTGGTTGCTGTAGACAAACCATGCTAATGTACATTTTGAACTTCTCTGAGCAATCATTTTATATACCATTTGGATATATACCACATTCGTATAACTTTACTTACCTTCAGTGGCTGATTCCTTCTTATCACAGCCAGTTCAATGTTTTTCCCGCCAGACTGCACAACCTAAAATTATAGCATAAAATCACTGCCCATGACAAAACTGAAACACTAAATTGCAACGTTTCTCAGCTGGAAAGTTATTTTCTGGATTTTATTTATGGAAAAGTCCAGGTTCAATCATAAGAAAGTGATTTTTCTCTTTAGCAACCAGGATTACTTTCATAACCGTTTTAGCCACGTGTTTTCCCATTTCATTTTCTTTTCAATTATATCCTTTTCCACTTCTTTCACAATCAATTTCTTTAGATTCACTAAAGCTCCCACCCCCAGGATTATCAACTGCTTTGAGGTGTACTCTCGATGTGAACAGCATTGTCTGTATAAATGTAAACTGTACTGTGGTTATACTGAACTGAATGGTGCAGTATTTAGCAGTTACATCATACCACCAGCTCCCAGTACTCCAGAATCAGGCAGAGTGTTCAATTAAGGAGAGAACTGTTTTTCAGCTGCAGTGGCATTTCTAAAGCAAACTGGTGGGATGATCAGTTAATTTCCAGCAATAGAAATTTCAAAGGTTCAGTAGATGAGAAGAATAGTTCTTAAAATTCAAGACTGATGTTCAACACCTGTAGCCAATGTTCAGTACTAGATACCACCCATGTACTGTTTTGCTAAAGTGGAAATAGTACACTGCATCAACGCCAAACAATGGAGTACTTATTTTTCCAAATAAGGAAAACTTATATGGTGATTAGTGTCTCACTCACTTCCAGTAGAGCCTTGATTGCCAGCTTGATGGTGTCATTATCAGATGCAATAGCTTCATCTGTGTAGTTCTTTTCAAGGAATTCTCGGACTGTCTTAGCACTTCGACCGATAGCATTTGCCTATTCGATCAAAAATGCAGTTACGCGCCACTCTCAAAATAATTCCTATATTTTTATATTTTAGAAGTTACTGGCTGAAGAGATACAAAGTTTCAGACATGCATGATTTCCTACATTGCATAATTTACAGTAAACAAGAAATGTAGTTGAACTTTGGTAGCCATGTATTATAAAAGAAAACTGCACCAACAATTTGTAAGTTTCTTTAAATTCAGTCAGTTGGTGAAGAGTTTAACAAAGAAGGCTGAGAAGTGACTTGATAGAGATGATTAACGATTTTGATAGTCAATATGGAAAAATTATTTCCACTGGTCAGTGAGTCAGTGACTTGAGGGCATCAATTTAAAACAACAACTTGCATTTATATAGCTCGCCTCATGTAAGCTAACATTCCAGAGCTCTTTAATGAGCAAATGGGGAGCTTAGGAGAATTTTATTTTCCACAGAGTTGTTATCTCTGGGAGTTAAGCTCTCTGGGACACTACCCGGTGTGAGGGATGCTATATAAATGCAAGTTGTTATCATATGGAATGCATTGCCAGGAGTGGTGGTTGACACAGAATTTATATTAACTTTCAAAATGGAACTGGATGGATATCTAAGTTATTTATTTACAGGGGAATGGTGAAAAAGAAAAGTAAATGGGACAGAAAGGATTGCTCTTTAAAATAGACAGCATAAACATGATGGTCTGAATGGCCTTCTTATGTGCTTTGGATTTTTATGGTTCTAACATTTTATAACGCCGCAATATGCACGTATCTCAGTTTGAAAGCGACATTAAGAATCAAGATACAGGGTTCTTCCCCAAAGCTGCAGTGGGCAAAAAGCCTGGCGTAATTTCTGAATGATAAAGGACAACTGTGTGCGGAGTTAACTGATCTCAGATCGGACACCAGTGGGATATTCACCTCAGCATGGGCGAAGGGAGGCAAGGACATAAAAAAAACTTCCACTTTTGAAGATTATCCAGTGATCCCTTTTAAAAGTGTGTTCATACTTCCTTGTAGACTTGCTGCCTGGGCTGACGAGCTGTTTACTTGACTGATATACAAATGTAATTTGTTGTCGATATACCAGGTAAGCAGAAAAGATTCCCTTTTCAATCACTTGGCTACACTAAATTAGCTGAACCTAGCTCACATGTTGTAACAGTCATCAGTGCCAAGGGGAAGATAAACCAGAGTTCCTAAATACTGGGCACTAGCCAGCAATCTGATAAACTGCTTACACTAAATCATAAGAGTGTTACAGCACCAATAACAGGCCACATGGATCCTTTACAGTGACAGGTCTAAGTTTAGCTGTGATGCATTAGTCCTCATTTGGGCACTACTCATTGATCAGGCGCAAACACTTTGGACAAGATGGTAGAAGACCAGCTGTATTCATCAAACTATTCCCTAGCACAAGCTACCTGGAGAGAAACGGAGTTAAGAGGAAAATCAGTGGAAATCTTTAGAGAATAAAAGGAAATTATATACCAAACATCATGAAATATTTAAATATGTGTAGTAAAAGAGCCAATTTACCTTCCAGGCTTGATATGTGCCAGATGGATCTGTCTGATACAATCTCGGTGTGCCGTCATAGTCAAACCCCACAATCAAAGCAGAGATTCCAAATGGCCTGCGGCCATTGCTTTGTGTATAGCGCTAAAAACCCCAGAAAAAACCATTGAGTGAAGCCAATATTTTGTGCACGTGTGCAGCAAGACTTAAAATAATCAACAATTCAGGCACGAGAGATAACTATTTTTCCACACTTCGATTTAACGCAACGTTCTGCATCTATGGAACATCACTGTGTTGTAAAGGAGCTGCTCGTATGTGGTAACTTATTAATATACCAAACATACCAAATAAACATACCAAAACATTTTAATTCACTAAGGTGAACTGGGAGGGGGGAAAAGCAGAAGTAGTGTCCAAAAACCTCAACAAATACAAATGAGATTCTTGAAGAATATGAACTTCTGTGCATAAAACAATTTATTTTCAATGATAATTCAAATGCTCCAGCTGCTTCTGTGCCCCTCCTAGTGGATAGGTCAGGAGGTGCTACTTGCTCAATGTAGCTTGAGGGAGATTTTTGGTGATGAGGGAAAAGAAGAAAATAAAATAACTCACTTACTTGCTTTAAAGTTGCAATGTAGCGAGTTATGTACTCCACAGTCACTGGATCTTCTACAGTAAGCTTGTGACTCTGACACTCCACCCGGGCTCTGTTAATTACTATTCTAGCATCAGCTGTTAGACCTGAAATAATACCATAGTCATATCATAGTTAAACTGAACTAACACCATGTATATATTCACCATTGTAAAACATTATTATTCCCACACATTTCAATGAGGAATAAAAGTAATGCAATTTACATTTAAGAATCTTTCAATGTGTGAGGCCATTTCAAAGTGCTTTCTGATGCTTGGACTTTGTTCTTCAACAGATTCTGATGCTAAAATCTAAACGTTCTCAGTAAAAATACACAAGACAAATTAAGAAATTTATACAGCCAGAGAAAATCAAAAATCCACTGCTGAGGTTTCCAAATTTGAAAGTTAGGCCACCCAGATTTATCTTACAAATATTTCAGCATGAAAGCCTGATACGCAAAACATCGCTTCTGTTATCCAATTTAGAAGGTTGATCGATTAGCTTTTTCTACATTAACACTGTGCTTTAATACTTTAACATTGGCTTCAGAAGTGTTCTGAAATATTTCCACGCTGGATTAGGACATTTGGAAGGTTAGGCTTGGTGCTTGGTTATGCCAAATGTTACTTTGTTTGTAGTTCTTGACTTTGCCTTTAATTGACACTTTAACCTTTAGCACACAATGGATGAATTCACTTGTCTTTGTGTTTTTCAGTGACAGCATGCAAGCTGAAAATGCACAAAACCAGTTGATCAGCGCCTTGGGACATCCGCCCGACGTGAAAGGCGTTATACAAATGTAATCTTGTTGTTGTTGATCCACAGATGCAAGTTTCTATTGACTTAGAACCATAGATATTTATAGAAGTGAACAACAACAAGATTCCATTTATAAAGCGCCTTTCACGTCAGGAGGACGTCCCAAGGCGCTGCACAGTTGGGTCATGACCCGAGCAGGGGGAAATGGTCAGGGTGAGGGGAGGGGAGGGAAGGGAGGGAGCGAGGAGGGGGGAAATGGTCAGGGTGAGGGGAGGGAAGGGAGGGAGCGAGGAGGGGGAAATGGTCAGGGTGAGGGGAGGGATGGGAGGGAGCGAGGAGGGGGAAGAGAGTCGAGAGGGGAGCTGAAGGCTCGGTCAAAGAGAAAGGTTTTGAGACCGGCCTTGAAGGAGGAAAGGGAGGAGTCAAGGCGAAGGCACTGAGGGATAGAGTTCCAGAGCCTCGGAGCTGAGAGGCTGAAGGCCCGACCACCGATGGTAGGGCGGTTGGGGCGGGGGATGTGGAGCAGACCGGAGCCGGAGGAACGGAGGGTACGGGCAGGTAGGTAGGGGGATAGTAGGTCGGAGAGGTAGGAGGGAGCAAGGCTGTGAATGGCCTTGTAGGTGAGGATGAGGATCTTGAAATCAATCCTCTGGGGGATGGGGAGCCAGTGGAGGCGAGCGAGGGTGGGAGTGATGTGGTCCCGAAGCCTGGTGCGGGACAGTACACGAGCTGCAGAGTTCTGAATGAAGAAGGCCTATCACATCTATGCTGGCTCTTTGAAAGAGCAATCCATTCAATTTCACTTACCCAACTGTCTCTTCCCCATACTCTTATTTGTTCCCCAGTCAAGAGTTAAATGTGTGTTCTGAATGTTTTTGTAAAACTAAAATAGTGTATAGGCTAATTTACAAAAAAGATAATATGAGTAATATCAGTTACATTCATATAACTAAGAAAAACTGTAAAACTGCATCCTGCTCCAATGCCAAAAAAAAAAATTAAATTGATGAAATTCTATAATCAACACAATACCACCTTTTTTAAAAAACTAATCAAATAACAAGAAATCTTACCACAAGCTAAAAAACATTGTACTTGTATCTTTAGCACCCATATTTAACTCCATCCAGCAGTAATTGAACAAGGTAGGCTTCAAATTTAATCTTGTTACTAGGATGTGCACCGAAGCCATTACACAGCATTTCCTGTAATCTACAGGTTCACTGATACTGGGCCAGCAGCTGCCTTATCCGTGTTAGTACTTGGTTATGTTGACACTGGAACCAATTAACTATAATTTTAATAACAATTTAGCACTAGAAAAGGCAATTCACCACTTCCTGTGATCGAGCCACAATTTACTTTGTATTAGCATTCAGTCCACATAGAGGCATCGTTAGCAAATTATAGCCCATTGTGCTTGTTTAAACCTGGGTAGTGTAGGAAAACAGTTTTAATCTAAAAGGCCTATTAATTATCTAACCCTAAAGGCTGTCTCTCTAATCAAATATGAGGATTATTATTTATAAATATTTATTTACAGATACAAACCAGGAACGATTGAACAGTTCAACCCTATGAATAAAGTATACACTGACAATTGATCTCCACAGTGAAATATCATGAGCTACATAAATAATAATCCTTGCATTTGATATAGCGTCTTATCACGTCTTCTAGACGTTTCAAAGCGCTTTACAGAATATACTGTAAAGTGAATTAACTGTATATTCGTGGGCAATGTTACAAAATATTTCCTCTGATCTTGCTAATCTACTTAATGCAGATTGCAACAATAATTCCATGGGGCTTCAAACTGACAGTGTGCAATTAATACATCAAACTAGATTATGATCATCACAGTGCACCTGATTATTACATGGCTTGGGAAATACATTCATTATGTGTCAAGAAGCTAGAAGTGGCCCCAAGTCTGCATATTCTTCTGATTTACCTTCCCTTTGCAGGTGAGTATCAAGTCTCTGCTTGTCTACTAGACTGCAAGACCGAAATAGTCAACTCATCATTTGGGGAAAGTGAAATGTAAAATTTGCATCCTTCCACATAATGACTTGCTTACACGTCGAAGAGCATTGCTGCTTGCACCAACATGGCAACGAAGCCACATACAGATATTATCATGACTTGGTTAGCACTTCCCAAACTCCGAGTTCATCCCTACAAACAACATGCAATAAATGGATAAAATCATATATAAGTGATAAAGAACAGATAAAATCACAATTAGAGCTGTTCACATATCTGAGTCAAGGCGAGTGTGTGAGGTTTATAGGATGACATGCAATTTTATTGAACATTTAAGGTTTTTTTTAAACTGATATCCATTACTTATAAAATTTTAGGAGGAAACCAAAAGCAAATTGACCAAAAAAAACATCAACTGTTACCTGCAAATGCCATGCAGACATGTTCATCGAGTGCACAGATTTTTCTTACAGTTCTCTCTTCCTGCAGTTTAGCAACAGACTTCTTCTCCACACCAAGAACGACAATATCTTTGCCTCGAATTCCAACCTTTCAAGGAGTAATAATAAATTGATTACAAGTGTAAAAAAGTGTACATTTGCTGTAGAAAAACACAATATACAATACAAAATTACATTTGTATAGCACCTTACACGTGGGAGGGCGTTCCAAGGCACTGGACAGTCAGGGATTTGGACTGTAGATTGTTTTATTTCTACACACTTGCAAATTTGCACCGGTCCAGAATTATTACCACTTGAAATGATTTGAACGAAGCATAGATTTATTTCCTTTTGTAAGTAAATGTCAAGTTAGTGTTCATGGGTACTTTAAATGTGTGGTACTTGGCCCCAGTGGAATATAATGGCAAAAACAACAACAATGAACATTAATCTAAAATACGAGCCACTAAATAATTGGATAAAATCAGCATTCAGTTATGCCAATAGAATTACTACAAAGTGCATATTTATGAAGAAACCAATCGTGTGAACTGCTTTGAGATCATTATTACTGTATGTCTTCCTGATGTGAAAAGGCACAAGAATTATTATATTACTTCCTCAAATGAATAAATTTAAATATGTAAGCAACTGCAAAATCCCTTTTTTGATGGAGCATATACAGGTCAATCGAAAAATAAATGTACAATCCCAGTATTGAGGCTACCACGACTCAAAATTTCAACCGAAAGAAACCTCCAAAAGCCGAATAAAATGAATGAATACTCCAAAATTCGACGGTCTTTCCCACCAATGTCATCCCACGATGACTCGGGCTTCATCGCAATAAGTCGCGGAGNAAAAAAAGGAACCTTTAGAGATAGTGTAGCACGAAAACAGGAATGCAACACAAGTGCAACATCCTCTAACCACTGCTCCCACTCGCAATGAACTGTATAATGACACTGTGGTACAATGAGCTGCACCTTTACTCTACAGAACTGCCCACTTAACTGTTTAGTTCGCTTCCCCTCCGCTTTACCATCACCTGTTTGCACAGAGTCTGTTCATGAACAAATGTGACCCTCCTGTACACAACACACCATGAGGGGTGTGGGGGGGGGGGAATGGGGTTCTCCGTGGGGTTGTGGCCCAATCTTCCCCTCTCCTTCCCGTCCAGCATTACACACTAACCTCATAGGGTTCAGGTCTAACCTTAAACACAGCGACAACAAATAATCTTTTGCATTTGACAAATTGCCCGATCACGTCGTCGAGACGTCTCAAAACGAGCGCTTCGCGGAAATGTGCTGCCGAGTGAAGTGGGACGGTAGGCGTTGTGGGCGAAACAACAACAACAACAACAACTACAAGAAGAAGAAGATGACACCGCATCCAATCGCGCACAGCGGTGACCCACCAACAGCCGTGGAAACTTGTCTCGAGGCCTCGCCCCCGGGACCCAGGCCCCCAGGCCCTCTCGGATTGCGAGGCGAGGGCTCCAACCACTGCACTCCAGGTGCGGGCCTAACCTCCCCGTCTCTCCCTCCCCACCACACACAGGGTTCAGGCCTACCCTCCCCCCCCGGGTTGTTGATACCCTCGGGCCGGGCACCCCCCCCCCTCTCTCTCTCTCTCCCCCACCACACTCACCGCGGTGGAGCCTTTCTTCACCGCTTCCTGCGCGTACTCCACTTGGAACAAATGTCCGTCGGGCGAGAACACGGTGATGGCACGATCGTATCTGGCCGCCATGGTGCAAGGGTGAGACGGCGGAAGCTCGTGTGTGTGTGTGTAGGAAGGCGTACAAGTGTGTCAGTGTTAAGCGAGTGTGCAAACACCCAACGAGTGTGAGCAGCGCGGCCACACCTCACCCGCGACCCAACCGACTCTGCGCCTCGCGACCAACTGCCAAATTCCGCCCCGGAGACCTGGAGCGCACCACACACCGCGGGTGCGGAGGGGGGGGGGGTGCGCGGTGAGGGCCGGGAGTGGAAAAGACGATGCGAGGGCTCGTGGTCGATTCTTGACGCCCGTCGTCAGCCCAACGATATCCAGAGCGTCAGTCACTGCCCATCGCCACACTCCTGTCGGCTGTGAAAAGAACGATGCCGTGTCCGTGATAGACTGTTCTCCCCTCACGCCCGACAGTGGTTTGCCCCGAGCCTCGCGCTCGCTTCCCCCTCCCCCACCACCACTTGGTACCTGGGAGACAGCTCGGCTGGACTGAGCCACACCAGAGAGGGAGGGAGGGAGGGAATGCAGTCGTGAGAGGAAAGTCCTCGCAAAGAACTTGCCGCAACATTCACCTCCACGTCCTTCTGAAGCCACACAGTGTTTATTCCGGGGGCCCGACTTTGCTGAAGGTTTTGATTGAAAAGGATTTGCGCAAAATTTTGCTGCGCGTAACCCCTCCCCCCTCTTTGCCCCTTTGGACTGTTCCATCCGCCGAGCCGGAGAGAGCCAGTGGGACACGACCACTTGTTGGCGCGGGGGGGGGGGCGAAACGATCAGTTCCCGGCGGATAAAAGGCTCCGTAAATTGCTAATGGATTAGTTGAAAAACGCATTATGTTTTTGTGCACTAACTTTCGTCAGTGGAGTTAATTGGGGGGGAGGGAGGTTGGAATTGTTTTAGACCTCAGCAGTCGTCGTCCCCCCTCCACATCCTGCTCGAATGGACCGCTCCAGCTCGCGGACTTCCTCCGCGGCCGTTCGCTGTGGTGGAAGCGCGGAAGGAGCCATTCGGTTGCAAAAAGGAGAAGTGGGGGGGGAGGGAGGGAGGTGGTGTGGAGGTTATGAAAGAGTTGGGTTAAAAATACGCCTCGGAGAATGATAGACGGCACCAGATTCCGGCTAATGCTTTGCATTACACCTTCTCTTTCCGTTGCGCCTGGTTGCAAACAACTTAACCGGTGCAGCTGTGCACACACACCCCTCCTCCCACCCCCTTCCGCCTGCGTTGGGACCAGCAATGGTTGAATCCTCCACTCCCCCCCCCCCCCCCCCTTCCCCTTCCCTCCACCATCCCCTCCCCCCCCCCTTCCCCCCAGTTGTTACTGTGGAGAGTTTGGCAGGAAATCGAGGGCTTTTTTTTCAATCGTGTGTTTTTCTCTCTCTCACTCACTCACTCACTCGTGCAAAGCTGTGGTGCGTTGTGTGTGCGTGTGAGTCCTCTCTGTGTGTGTGTGTGTGTGTGTTTGGGGGGTGTCTTCCCCTCCCTCTTGTTTTCCGTTGCTCGAATCCCCCCCCCTCCAAAAAAAGGGAGAGAGAGAGAGAGAGACACACACACACACACGCAGACCGAGGGAGGGAAACGAATATTATATATATATATATATATACACACATACACACACACATAGAGGGAGGAGACGCAGACCAGAGAGGAGCAAAACGAGGAGACACCACCATGTCGGTAGCCTTTGCTACTCCGCGTCAACGCGGGAAAGGTGAAATTACACCTGCGGCTATTCAGAAGGTAAAGTGTCATTGTGTGTGTGTTTTTTGGGGGGGGCAGTGTGTGTGTGTGTGTTTTTTTTGGGGGCAGTGTGTGTGTGTTTTTTTTGGGGGGGGGGCAGTGCGGGAGGGGGGAACCATACTGAGGGTCCCCGGGGGATATTCCGGGCAGCGGAATCATTACTGAGGGGAACGAAACCCTGCAACTTGTGTCCGTCGTTGCTACCGGAGGGGGAGCGGGCGGCGGCGGCGGCGGCGGAGGCGGGCAGTTTAGCTTCACCTGCAGCAACACAAAGCCGCGAACTCGGCGTGATTCATCCTCCTCTCCTCCCTCCCTCCCTCCCTCTCTCTCCTTCCTTCCTCCATCCTCTCCTTTCCTCCCTCTCCTTCCCTCCCTCCCTCCCTCTCCTTCCCTCCCTCCATCCTCTCCTTCCTTCCTCCTCCTTCCTTCTCCTCCATCAAAAGCGCTTCATGGACTCTGCCTGTGTTTTACGCTCAGGCCAAGCGTTCAGCCCTCCATCCGTCCTTTCTTTTTCTTTGCACCGCGAAATATCTTGAAACTTCACCCCTCCCCCTCCCTTTTCTTCCCCTTTTTCCTCCCCCCCCCCATCTCCTTCTTCCCCAAATATAACCACGGCCCTGTCTGGGCTGGGCTGGGGGGGGTGGGTGGGTTGGCTGTGTACGTGTGTGTGTGTGTGTAAAAAAAAACCCCAACAATAAGCGCCTTTTCTTGCTGAGCAATGAACGCATTTCTTTGTACAGCCACACACACACACACACACAGGGAGGGGAGGGGAGGGGACTGAAGGGGGAATACCATACAGCGGCCATGATACTTTAGACGTTGGAGAAATCATAGGGAGGTCTCCAGCTTTCTCTCTCTCCCCCTTATTGCCACTCGTCAGCCTTGAGCCACTCTGCTTCGTGTGTGTGTGTGTGTTTTTTTTAATACAAAAATGATTCGTTTAACGGTTCTTAAGTCCCCCCCCACACACACACACACACAGTAACAAGAGCGAGTAACGTTGTATTTGCTGCGACGTCCTTTTTTTTTGGGGGGTGGTGGGGGCAAAAAAGCAACTTTTTTTAAAAAAAAATCTGCCAGCAGTAGCCTCACTGACTTGCACCCACCGTGCAATGAGTGGATGGATATCCTCCGGTAGCTTTGATACTCTCTCTCTCTCTCTCCCTCTCTCTCACTTGGTCTTGCAAACTGCTTGCACTTACTGCATCGACACTGAACAGACACAGAGGGAGAGAGAGAGAGAGAGGGAGAAAGTGACTTAAGTCATTTTTTTTCACAAAAAAAAAGGTTCAAGGTGGTTAAAGTTTGTGAACGTGTGTTGGTTTATTTTCATTTTGAGGTGTTGGTGTGCGTTGCATTCCACCGAAGCGTAATGAAATGTACCAATAACGAGAAGTAGAGACATAGGGACTTGTCCTGGAGGTGCGGTGCCTTCCACTGGTGGTTTAGACTTCAGAAGTGATTTTTTTTTTAATGTACAATTGTTCCAAATACGTCTGTGGACATCATTAGGAATACAAAGTCACTCGTGTTTTCAAAATGTGCCTCTTTTAATCGAGCAGCCACTTAGGGAAGTTAGACCTCTCCAGTCCTCAGGGAAGATGACTCAGAGGGGACCTCGTGGGGGTGGGGGAGAAGGTAATGACATTTTAAAAGGATCCATTTAATTTTAATGGGGTTTGCTTCAAAAAGGTACACCCATATCATTACTTTAGGGGGCACCAAGAGAGTAGATCAAGAAGACATAGGTTTAGAGTTGCAAAGGGCAATTTCAGGATGGACACCAGGAAGTTTTTCTTTACTGAGAGGGCAGTAAATGACTGGAACAGATTATAGGAAGGATGGTTGAGGCCAGGACACTGGGGACTCGTTTATTTTTAAAAAAAAGTTTAATATTGTGATGACAGGAGGTTTAGTGTGGGTGCTCTGGAAGGATGCGATTAGATGGGCTGAAGGGCCTTCTTCATCCAAATTAATCTTGTGTTTTTTTGATCTTGTATAATGCATCTCTTGAGAATAAACAGGTCCCACTCATTGACTGGATATCCACCTGTGTGGCTCATTTTCATTTTCACCATCCAGTATTTCCTCCACGTCAACAGCTTTGGGAACTTCAGAAGTGAAATTTTATACTTTATAAAACTTTTGTGTCTTGTTTTAAAGTGCTGGAATTTGTTGAGGGAGGGAACCAGATTAAGTTTCAACAATCGATTCTGTAAAGAATTGTATGGTTTGCCGAATGCTCAACAACCAATAATTTCTACCTCACTGAACCAGTTTTGTTTGACCCTCAATTGTCCTTTCTACCCCATATCCGTGCCTTGACCTGCTCTGCCTTCCCCCACCTCTGCAACATTGTTCGGCTCTGCGGCTTCCTCAGGCCACTGAAACCCTTATCCATGCATTCATCACATCTAGGCTCGACTACGCCAACTCCCTGTTTGTCGGTCTTCTAACTCTTCCCTCCACAAGCTGCAGATCATGCAGAGCTCTGTAGCTCGTGTCCTCTCCCGCACCAGGTTTTTGACCCTATCAACCCCCACCCTCACGTGGCTCCCTATACCCCAGAGAATAGAGTTCAAAGTCCTCGCCTTCGAGGCACTCCATGGCCTTGCCCCTCTCTATCTCTGCGATCTGATGACCCCATATCAACCTGTCCGCTCCCTCAGCTCAGCAGTCTCTGGCCTGCTACAAGTCCCCAGCCCACCCCACCATCGGCGGTCGGGCCGTCAGCCTTTCTGCCCCCATCCTTTGGAATTCCATCTCACATTCCCTTTGCCTCGCTCCCTCCCTTGCCTCCTTCAAGGTACATCTCAAAACTCTCTTCTTAGACCGAGCCTTCCTCCACCCTCCCTGATACTGACCCCCAGCTCGGGTCCAAATCCCTGACTGTCCAGCGCCTTGGGATGTCCTCCTGTTGTGAAAGACGCTATACTAATGTAATTTTGTATTGTAATAAGGAGAGTGATAAGAGGTAAATTCAATAACGAGTAAATATTACTGTAGGTCCTTCTCCAAGATTAGAGGTCATGGAACCATTTAAAATTTACCTAAAGTTGCATAGTGATATGGCACGGACCAACTCCTGACTATCCTCCAAGTGGGGGGGAGGAGGAGGTATAAGCAGGGTCTCCTTGGAGCTGAACTAGTTTCAAAGCGACATACTTGGCAAACGAATATCATAATCGAGTCAACCTTTTGTGTTTGTCTCTCTCAGTAGTCTGGTTCCATAGCCATGCAGGTCCTCTCCTCCAGAGCACTACTGATGACAGACCAGCCAGACTGGCTCATCAGCAGGAGTCAACTTAGTTGTGGGTGTGATGGGGAAGGGTAGGACTAACACCCTGGTACTTTCAGCTGCCTTGTAAGGATTGCAATGAGAAATGTTAACTCCACATTAACGTTTTTTTCTTTAGACTGGGTTCTTGCATCAGCTGGGATAGATTGGCGTGTGACATGGTCCCAGTGATGTGATCAGTCTGGCATGTTAAGGCTGTTTGTGGATCTGGGAAGCATCATCCTGTCGCACCAATCCATTTCATTGGGTAACCCTGTTCAGTGTGTACACCAATAGTGCTGAGGTGTTTAAAAATAAGGGACTTGATAGGGTAGCTACAGAGGAACTATGTCTTCTGGTGGAGAATCCAGAACGGGGAGGCGGGGGGCACACAATCTTAAAATTGGAGCTAGGCCATTTAGGAATGCAATCGGGAAGCATTTCACGCAAAGGGTCATGGAAATCTGGAACTCTTCCCCCAAAAGACTGGATACTGGACCCGTTTAAATTTTCAAGCCTGAGGTGGATAGATTTTTGTTAGGTATGGGGCAAAGGTGGGTATTTGGAGTTGAGGTACGGATCAGCCATGCTCTAATAGAACGGCGGAACAGGCTTGATGGGCTGAATGGCCTACTTTTCTACCTCAGTCGACTGACAGTACATCTGAGAAAGTTCAGTCATGCAGTTTAGAAGCAAGTGTTTTTTTGGGGGAGATTTTAGAAATATATTTAACAAATAAAAAAAGTTTGTTGAGGGGAACGACGACAACCACAATACTTCAAAGAAGATATTCCACACAGTGTCAATTTGTTCTGCCCACATTGAATTGGTGATAAAAGTCTATTAAAACTGACTTCCTTGTACTTATTCTCCGAACCATGTGGCTTTAGAATCTGACTTAGTTACAGGCAACTCATGACTGCGCAATTTTTTAAAAAAAGTTTAAAGTTTATTGCTGTCTAGTTCTTCGAGCATTGGCACACCGTTAAAGCATCTCAGTAATAATAATATTCCTTATATTTAATATAGCACTTCTCACATTGGGAGGAGATCTTAAAGAGCTTCATAGGATATTCAGTAAAGTGTAGTGACCGGGTATTTTGTAGGCATACACAGTTGGCAATTTGCCCACAGCAATGTTGCATCATAGTCATGCCAGGAATGATTATTTGGGGGATTATCAAATGGAACAAGCTCCATTCTCTTTACAATTAGTTCCATTGGATCTTTTAACGCCCACCTGAACAGGCAGACAGGGCCTCGGTTGAGTGTTTCATCACCTATGACAATGCAGCCCCCACCACCACCACAACAACAACTTGCACTTGTATAGTGCCCTCCGTGCAGGGTAGCGTCTCAGAGCGCTTGGCGCACCATTAAAGCATCCCAGTAATAATAATAGTCCTTATATTTGGATAACATCATTGCACTGGCGAGCCAACCTAGATGATATGAGTTCAAAATCCTGATGTGGTTTGAACCCACAACCTTCTGTCTCTGAGGCAAGAGTGGCTCAGGCAGGCAGAAGTTATAACTTGTATTGAACTCCTCTGATGTGTTCTTTTGATAGATACTTGATGAAAACAATCAGCTTATCCAGTGTATCATGGACTACCAGAGCAAAGGAAAAAGTGCTGAATGCTCACAGTAAGTTGCTGTTTTTCTTTGGTTTGCTGTGATGTTTGTAGCCAAAGTAAATTGAAATCATTAACTAGTTAGAATTTAAACCACTTTGTAAACATTGGAACCAAGTGCTGCAGGCATTCTTCATGGGGAATGACATAAGCATACAGGTGTAGTACTGAAGAATGGCTGCTATTCTTCAGATGAGACCATATAATATACATAATATACATCCAACACCAAAATTAAATTGGTCATTGGTCTCATCGTTGTTTATGGGACATTATGGCGATTATCCAAGTAATTTGAGATGTCCACATGACGTGAAATGTAAGCCTATACAAATGTAAATTGTATTGTATCTGCCATGTTTGCCTATGTAAGACCCATCATTATACCTTAAAATCTGAGGCACTATCGGAAGGAGGGCCCGAAAGAGGGCCATTTGGGCTATTAAACCTGCTCTGCCATTAAATCTGTGACAATTTTTGATTTCATTTTCACATCCCTGACTAATACCAAAACCCTTATCCATGCGTTTGTCACTTCCCAACTCGATTACTCAGATGCCCTCCTTGTGAGTCTCTCCAGCTGCACTATCCACAAAATCCAGTTAATCCAAAATTCCACCACCCGCACATTCACCCAAACTAAACCGCACCCCCATCACACCAGTTCTTGCCAGGCTCCACTGGATCACAGAAAGGATCGATTTCAAGATCCTCACACTAGGCTTCAAATCCCATTATGCCCTGGCTCCTCCCTACTTCTCTGACCTGCTTACTCTATCTGTTGGCTCCACTTGCCTGGCTATGGCCTCCTGCTTGTCCCTCTTCTTCGCTCCATGATCAGTGGCCACGCTTTCAACCACTATGCCCCAAACCTCTGGAACACTCTTCCCTTATCCCTCCTCGTTGCTCCCTCCTTCCCCACCTTCAGATTGTGCCTGAGTTGTTGTTAGAATTATCTTTACATTTGATATAGCGCCTTTCACATTGAGGACGTCTCAAAGTGCTTTACAGAATTTACTGCAAAGTGTACAGACTGTATTTTGTAGATGGATGACCTTACCTACCAAGTATCTATCTATCTGTCTTGAATTCCTTAATCATCTCCCTACCTACCTTCTGTAGTAACTCAGAGAAGTTCTCCCAGTATCTTGGCCAACAATCCCTCCAAATAAAATTGGTAACTTACTCAATGGCTGCAAATTGGATGCTGCGTTTATCGAACAGATGGGCTTTTGGACTTTTGCATTCATATCAGTAAACGTTGATAATGTTGTACACAGTGGTCAGAGCACTCCACTCACAAGTGAGAGACCTGGGTTTGATTCCCAACAGGGCCAAATGTTAGGCAAGTTTCCTTACACCACACACCTCTGTTTACCTAGCAGTAAGTCAAAGTGGGGGGGTCAATTGGTGGTTCGCTTTTCCAGGGGTAATAATTGACTTTAAAAAAATAATAATTTGGTCACTTCAATCCACGACTCTTTGTGGGACACTGCTATGAGCAATTGGCTGCTGCATTTCACCCACAAAATATACGGTCTATTCACTTTAGAGTATATTCTGTCAAGTGCTTTGAGATGCCTTGAGGACGTGATAAGGTGCTTTATAAGATGCAAGTTTATTATTATTGTTGTTGCATTGATTTCTTTGAATGTAAAAATTTTTGTGATCCTAGCTGTGATTTGGAGGAGACAGTAAAGTGAGGTCCCATCTGCCCGTTCAGATGGACATTAAAGATCACTACTGTTAGAAAAGAGAAGGGAGCTTCTCCCAGTGTCCGGACTTAACAATTTCCGAAGATAAAATTAAATAAATTGTTCATTCACCTATGGCCAGCTCCATCATACACAGGATCCAGCTGATCCAAAACTACGCCACTCACATACTGACCCATACTAAACTCCGTACCTCCATCACCCATACTAGCCAGGCTCCACTGGCTCCCTACTACTGAACAGATCGATTTGAAGATCCTCACACTCATTTACAATTTCCTTCCTGCCCCTCTGACCTGCTCACCCACAACCCACAACCCGCTGCCTCCGCTCGACTGGCAAAATATAGTCACTACACCTCACAGTATATACTGCAAAGTGTTTTTGAGAGATCTTCCTGATATGAAAGGCTCTAAATCAAATGTAAGGATTGTTGTTAATACAGTATATTACTGGTCAGACAATTGTAACAACTGTTGTAACAATTAAATGGTTAAAAACATTCTAACCAGTATTTTAAAGATGTATGCAATGTAGTGACTGACTATACAAGTTACTGCAGACCTAATATACATTATCTTCCAAGACTGAGTTTATTGCTTTCTTGTATGCAGTAATATTAATAACTACTAAGAAGCTGTTAGAGACAGAATGGAAAATTGATGTTGTACTTCTATTACTCATCTAAGCTTTAATTAAATTACCCTTTAAGAGTTTTCAGTAAAAGTGATGGGTCTTAATGGAGGCCTGTTTCTGACTGGCATTTTTATTCAATTGTACCACACGTAAAGTTTAATTGAAAAGGACATCAAATTTTACCTGAAACCCTTCAGGGTGAATTCAAGTGGCTAATCAAAAGTACAGTATGTAACTATGTATTCTCTGGAATAAAGTAATTGGTGTGAATTTTTACACTTAATGCCATGTTTTGTTTCTCCGCATACCCCAGAACTGGTTAATGTGGTCTACAATAGGTTCTGATTGCGGAAACGTGGGTGGCATTATACAAAGGCAAAGAAGACTTGACATGTTTGTTCTTAAATACCTTCTGGAAATACCTACACAACAGTGGGAGTATGAGGTTAAGCTAGCTAAGAACAAACATTAAGTCTGATTGTAAAACTTTTTACAAATATATTAAGAGGAATAGGCTAGTGAGGGTAAATGTAGGTCCACTTCAGTCAGAGATGGGAGAAATTGTAATGAGGGACAAGGACATGGCAGAGTCCCTAAATGGGTACTTTGCATCTGTCTTCACCCTAGAAGACACAACAAGTCTGCCAGCAATAGAGATGCACCAAGGGGATAAGGACAGGGAGCAACTTAGGGAAATTTTCATTAGTAGAGAATTGGTGCTAGGGAAACTGTTAGCACTAAAAAGTGACAAATCCCCTGGTCTGGATGGCTTGCATCCCAGGGTTTTAAAAGAGGTAGCTTATGAGATAGTGGAGGCCTTATGTCTGATCTTCCAAAATTCCTTGGATTCTGGAACAGTCCCCATGGATTGGAAGATTGCAAATGTCACACCACTATTTAAGAAGGGTGGAAAGGAAAAGATGGGGAACTATAGGCCAGTTAGTCTCACATCAGTGACAGGAAAATTTTTAGAATTATTGATTAAGGATGTGGTAGTGGGGTATTTAGGGAGCACAATATAATTAGGCCAAGTCAACATGGCTTTACAAAAGGGAAGTCATGTTCGACAAATTTTTGAGGATATTTCCAGTAAACTAGATAAGGGTGAATTAGTGTATGTGGTCTATTTGGACTTCCAGAAGGCATTTGATAAGGTGCCGCATAAAAGGTTAGTCCAAAAGTTAAGGGCCCATGGAATTGGGGGGAGCATATTAACGTGGATTGGGGAATGGTTAACGGGTAGGAAACAAAGAGTAGGGATAAACGGGTCCTTTTCAGATTGGCGGGATGTGACTAGTGGAGTGCCGCAAAGATCAGTCCTTGGGCCTCAGCTATTTACCGTCTACATCAGCGATCTAGATGAGGACATCAAAGTTAATATTTCTAAATTTGCGGATGACACATAACTAGGAGGAAGTGTCAACACAGAGGACGATATTAAAAAAAAATGCAGCGAGACATAGATAGGTTAGGTGATTGGGCAGGTAGGTGGCAGATGAAGTATAATGTAGGGAAGTGCGAAGTCATCCACCTAGGTAGCAAAAACAGTAGAGCGGGTTATTTTTTAGAAGGGGAGAGATTGGAATGTGTTAGCGTCCAGAGGGACTTGGGTGTCCTTGTACACCAATCACAGAAAGTTAGTCTGCAGGTGCAGCAGCAATTAGGAAGGCGAACGGTATGTTAGCATTCATTATGAAAGGATTAGAGTATAAGAGTAGGGAAGTCTTGCTGCAACTGTATAGGGCCCTGGTGAGACCACACCTGGAATACTGTGTGCAGTTTTGGTCTCCTTATTTAAGGAAGGATGTACTTGCCTTGGAGGGGGTTCAGTGTAGATTTACTGGGTTAGTACCAGGGATGAAGGGGATGAGTTACGAGGATAGGCTGACCAATTTGGGCCTATATTCTCTAGAATATAGAAGAATTAGAGGGGATGTTATAGAAACCTATAAGATCATCAAAGGGCATGATAGAGTAGATAGCGGGAGATTGTTTCCCCTGGTTGGAGAAACTAAAACCAGGGGTCACAACCTTAAAATCAGAGGCAGCCCTTTCGCACTGAGTTGGGGAAGAACTTCTTCACTCAAAGGGTGGTGAATGTATGGAACTCACTACCCCAAAGGGCTGTTGACGCTCAGTCCTTGAACATATTCAAGACTGAGATAGATAGATTTCTTATTGCAAAAGGGATTAAGGGATATGGGGATAAGGCAGGGTCAGGTTATTAGCTGAAGTTAGATTAGAAGATCAGCCATGATTGAATGGCAGGGCAGGCTCGAAGGGCCGAATGGCCTACTCCTGCTCCTACATGTTATGTTGTATTTATTTAAATAGCGTAGGGTAGCGTCTCAGCGCATTGAGCAGTGGCTGAGCCCGAGAGAAACTGGTGATGATCGTAGGTGCAATCGAAGAGGAAACTACAAAGAGGGGGCCAGGGATTGGGATTCAGGCAGGGAGTTCCATAGGTTTGGGGTGTAGTAGCTGAAAGCATGGTCGGCAGATGTAGTAGTCACTACATTGTATATATCTTTACGATACTGGTTAGAATGTTTTTAAGTCCACTTAATAGGCGCTTGTTGACTGATCAGTTAATAATAAATAATAATCCTTGCATTTGATATTATAATAATAATAATCCTTGCATTTGATTATAGCGTTTTTCACGTCGGGAGGACGTCCCAAAGCGCTTCACAGAACACACTGTAAAGTGAATTGACTGTATATTTGTGGGCGAACACGGCAGCCAATTGCGCACAGCAATGTCCCGCAAACAGTCGTAGATTGAAAATGACCAATTTATTATTGTTTTTGGTTTTGGAGGAATTATTATTAGGTGTGTGGAGTAAGGAAACCTGCTCGAAGACGTGAAAAGCACTATATCAAAAGGATTATTATTGTTTATAGCTACAGTTGACCAAGATTGGCTGACAGAGTGCCTCTGGTCAGAAATTTTTCTCTAAAACTCAAAGTTGACATTTATTATTCAAAAATATGGGAGATTTATGTTAAGACAGCAGGGAACAGCCTCTACCTTTTGAGTGCTATGATCTCTGGATTTGTTCAACAAAGAGAGCTTCATTAGGAAGCATTGTTCTCTTGAGGACTGGGGTACTGCAATAGGAAATTGGCACAAATGCGTTGAAGGGGATCAAAACTGACACAAAAGAGGATCAAAAGTAAGTAGAAGAGAACTTCTCAGGGTGTATAAAGTTGACACAGGACTCCTCCCTATTTAATTTGAACGTTTTCCATTTAAAATTTAAATAGCTCTGGGACCTGACATGCACGTACACACACCCTCTCTCTTATTGGCTTCTTATAGCTTGTGATTGCTGAGGAAAGTTGCCCCAGGGGTACCTTATCCCTCCTTCCATTCATGTTAAACCATAAAGATGATGCGGCTGTTTAATGACTCATGCTGCTTTATGTGTGACTGCATTTGGAGGTGTTAAATGCTGTGTTCCTTTCAATCGATTTGACCTTAGAAGATCATTGTGGGAGCTGAGAGATGACTTGAATTGGCCCCTCACCACACACACGCACTCATAAACTCACAGGAACAATACTGTGGTGGGGACACTTGAATCTGCTGCCCACTTTTACTCGTGTTTAAACAACAAGCTACAGGTTCAGGAGAAATTAACAAAGTTTATAGCAACTGCAGGGCCTTTGGAAATCTTTATCTCAATCACTCCATGAGTCATTTCTATTTTTGGTCAGCCGAGTGTCTGACACATGCGGAAATGCATCACTATTGCTCAAGAGTATCCAAACTAGACAGTTTCACATGTATGTGTCACCTGCACATGGAAAAATCTGAGATGAGATAGGCTGCCTGGGCTTTAATCAGCAGTACCCTGGAGCACTGGCGGACCTGCCTGGCTCACCTCACTAACCATATTACATTGAGCATCCAAAATAGAAAAATGTGCAGATGCTGGAAATCTGAAACAAAAACAGAAGTCGCTGGGAACACTCAGCAGGTCAGGCAGCATCTGTGGAGAAAGAAAAGTGAGTCAATGTTTCGGGTCCACAAAGGGTCAAACATTGATTCACTTTCTCTATAGATGCTGCCTGACCTGCTGAGTGTTCCCAGCGACTTCTGAACATTGAGCATTCACACTTATGAACACCACAGAGCATGCAGGTATCTGCCAGTATGATGGGTTGTCAGTAGAGGAAGGAGAAACAGAGCAAATTGAAGGTTCACATAAACTTGTTGGTGCAGATTATCCCCAATCCTTTATGACAGTGGTGGCCAACTTGTGATCATGGGCTGCGTTACTCATGCGTAAGATGGTCACGTGGGCAATAGGTGGCACGAGAGCCATAGCTGGCCAGTTCTGCTTTATAAATGGAATCTAGAAGAAAACCTGATGATCTGAGGGGTCGTTCATTCCAGCCTCCAGTCCTCTCCAATACAGCCATTGCCCAAGTTTTAACCTAATCTCCACAGCTGGGTGCACATTTGACTTTTACACATTTAATGTTAGTTGACTACCACTCGAATCTTCCATTTGCATCACTAACCATTTCCAGATGCCTCAGTCAAAGATAGTTGGCTGGAACTTGGTAGCCATGATAATCACGATGCAATATAGAGCCTTTCATAATAATATTAATAATCCTTAATTATTTTTTAATAATCCTTGCTTTTCAGACAGCGAATTTCATGACGTCTCAAAAGTGCTTCATAGGATTTTACTACCAAATGTAGTGACTGTGTATTTGTAAGCGAACACAGCAGCCAATCTACGCAAGCAACTCACAAAAGTGATTGACCAAATTTATTTGGAGGATTTTTGGCCAGAAACTCTCATCTCTTTTTGAACAGTGCCACGTGTTCCTGCACATCCACCAGAGCAAGACAGGATCTCATACGAAAGCGTGGCACCTCTGACAATGAGGCGCCCATCAGTACATTGAAGTGTCAATCTAGACTGAGCTCAAAGTCCTGAGTGATGAGCTCGGGGCAGTCTGTTAAATTGCACATCACGGCAAAACAAATAATTGATTCTTTTCTTTGACAGGTACCAACATATGCTGCATAAAAATTTGGTGTTTCTGGCAACGATAGCAGACTCGAATCAGAATATGCAGTCGCTGTTACCTGCTGTGAGTATCCTTTTAATGTTTTTGAGAAAAATTAGGAACAAAGGTGAACTTGAAGCTTTTTTTTAAAACATGGAAATGATTGACGCTCCAGTGATAGGACTTTAAAAGGAGCAAAAACTAGTATCAAAAATGAATGTAATGTGATACAAGCATGTTCCATGATGTTACCACCTTGTCTGCTGTGTCTTAGCCCAAATTTTAGCACGGCAAGCCTCTCTTTAACAGATCTTCTAAGGTTTAAGATTCAACTAACTTATAGCTGTACGCATCTATCAGGGTCTAGGCTTCCAAAACAACATTGACAAATTGCATTTATACAGTGCCTTTCAAGTCAAGAAGACATTCCAAGGTGCTGTACAGTTGAGGGTTTTCCCCCAAGCTGAGGGTTGGGATCAGAGAGGGGTGGAGGGCAAGGGCAAATGGTGGGGGGAGGATAACTGAAAGCACGATCAAAGAGGAAGGTCTTGAGACTGGGCTTGAAGGAGGGAAGGGGCGAGGCGAAGGCACTCTGGGATGGGTTCCAGAGGGTGGTTGGAGCCAGAAAGACTGCCTTAGGGGTCTGTACAGGCACTCCTCCAGTTTTCTGCATGTGTAAATGTACTGGATTTCAGGACTCAATGTGAAATAGTTCACAGATAATGGCAAAATAGGGGAATTTTTTTAAATTGGAGAATCAAAAAAAGCAGCCAAGGTCTTGCAAAGAGCTCAATAGTGCATGCTCCCGGGAAAATAAAGTTCAGTGCGTGCAAATGCACAACACTGCATGCACACACTAAAACTAGGAAGGCTTCTACGCTGGCTTGAGTAGGATAGAATTTGACAACTGGAAAGTTTAAGGAGACCTAGGCTACTAGTTTGAATGGTGCTATTTAATGCAAATTGTTGTATTCTGAAAGTAGTGTTTAAAAACCTCTGAGCAGAGACTGGAGGAACTGGAGCAAAGAAGGTTGAGGGGTAACCTGATTAGAAGTCTTTAAAATTGTGAAGGATTTTGATAGTCAACAGAGAAAAAATATTTCCACTGCTTTGTGTGTCTGTGACAAGAAGGCATCAATTTAAGATGATAATAATAATAATCCTTGCATTTGATATAGCGCTTTTCACGTCTTCTAGCACTTTGCAGAATATAGTGTAAAGTGAATTGACTGCATATTTGTGAGTGAAACGTGCCAGCCAATTGCACACAGCAGTGTCCCACAACCCGTCGTGGATTGAAGTGACCAATTTATTATTTTTTTCTTGAGGTATTATTATCAGGCATGTGGAGTAAGGAAACTTGCTCAAAGTTTTGCCTGCTGGGAATCGAACCCAAGTCTCTCGCTTACGTGGCGAGTGCTGTAACCACTGAGCTACAGTTCTCCAGATAGTTAGTGAACGAGCAAATGGGGAGATTAGGAGAAATCTTGTTAGGATATGGAATTCCCTGACGGGAGCAGTGGTTAAGACAGAATTGGTTTTCAAAAGGGAACTAGATAAATACCTAAAAAGAGTCAACTACTGGGGTATGTATGGGGAAAGGTCAGGTAAATGAGACTAAAATATTTTTTTTTAAAAAAGCCAGCGTGGAACAAATGGCTTTCTTCTGTGCTGTAAATTTCTATGGTTCTGTGGTAAAACATCAATGGTTCGCTATGACTCATGTTTCAAGAGTTTCACTGTGTCATGCATTCTGTGCCATCCATGACAAAGAAACAGCCTTTCTTGAAATGTGTACATAGTGAATGAAGGAATGTTTGTTCATTCACTGAAGTGGTAAGGCAAAGGAATTGGAGGTTACTGAAAAGTCGCTTGCAATCATCCAGTAAACGTGAGACTGTTGAAGCCACGTGTTCTTGAGGGCATTTCAATGGTATTTGGACTAAAGGCAGAATAAGTCATCGTAATCTTATAGATCATTGGAGAGGTCATATGTGCCTGGGATCATAGGAATTCAGAACGTATAATTGTGGTTTATCTGCTTAGTCCCAAAGGTAAAGAAAAATGTTTAACTAATCCTGGACTATATCTCGTACACCTCAAATCATTTCTTAGTTAATCCTCACTTGAATTTGCTAACCTGATCTGTCTCCATCATCTATCTCCCTGTTCGTATGTGTTCAGTAATTAAATATGAACCATTTAGTCACATTCTCTCTTCTGAGATAGAGTCAGTATCCCTTTTTCCAAACAATGGCTTGCATTTATACAGCACCTATCATAAGAGTAACGGCTTGGTGCACTTTGCAAAGACTATTGGATACCAAGCTAGGTAAGTGGGGAGGGTGAAGTGCCACCATTGGCAGTAGAGCCTTCAGCCACTCTGCCCCCAACCTCTGGAATTCCATCCCCTAATCACTCTGCCTCGCCCCCTCCTTAGTCTCCTTCAAGTCCCACCTCAAGACCCTCCTCTTCGACCATACCATCGGCCACCCCCTTTCCCCTCTCTTCTTTCCCCCTGACCCCAGCTCGGGTCTGAAATGCTGTACTCTGTCCATCGCCTTGGGACGTCCTCCCGACGTGAAAGGCGCTCTACAAATGTAATGTTGTTGTTGTTGAAGTGGTAAGATTTGAGGTGGGATTTCAAAACAGAAAGTGGATGCAGGGTGATACTGAAGTGTGAGGGAGGGAATTCCAGAGGTCAAACAATAACATTTGTGTGGCGCCTTTCACACTGGGAGGATGTCAGAACTGAAGTCTTGGAGTGGAGGAGTGCAATAGAAGATTGGAGAGACAAAAAGGTACCAGGGAATGGATGGATTTGTAGGTAAGGGCTTTGAACAGGATCCACTGAAAGCCAGTGGAAACAAGTGAGGGCTAAGGTAATGGCCGTGTGGGGTTTGGTGAGGGCGAGTGTTAACCATACTTTCTAGCATCTTGGACACTCCAATGAGATCTTTCTTAAGGCTTATCTAGCGTGTCCTCTCCTGTAGCACTGAAGCAGCTAATTACAGCTATCATTCTGTTTCCCCTTTGCTGTATATGATCCAATGCCAAGGTGTGGTCACTGTAATGTGATAACCAGCATTTGTGGGCCAGACCAGTGCACTTCCTGTGACTGATGCTCTATCCTTTCAGCTATACAAACTGCCACCGCACACTGTGCTGATGGGTTTAGTGATCGCTTCTCTCACTTTAGTGCACATAAATCCTTCCACTGTGCCTTGACCTGTAGAACCAAAGAACAAAATTAGCCACCTTTGGGCAGGCTTGAAATGTGTGAGTGGAAGAAACATACTGTTAGGAATTAGTATAAACACATACACCAAACATTGTAGCGGATGAACTAATGGGGACTAAAAGCCAAACAAATCCCAGACCCAGATGTTTTTCATTCGAGGCCACGGAAGGAAATGGGCAAGGAAATTAGGGATGGATTAGTAATAGTCTTCGTAAAGCTCTTTGGATTTGAAGGGATGTTAATACCTGAAAGTAGCAAACGTTATTCAAGCAGAGAGAAAGAAATAACCCAATAACTACATTAGTGAGTTCAGTGGCAGTGGTGGGTAAAATGACTAGAATCCATCATCAGAGCAATGCTCCAGAGAGTCAGCCTGAGACATATAATCAGGTGGGATTCACTGTTCACAGAATCTTTTTTGGTGGGGGAGGGGGGTGAATATTGGATGTACGTCATGGGAGAGAGTAAGGAGTGGGTGGAGACCGGTGTGGAATATAAACATCGACATGGAAGTTGGCCTGAATGGCCTGTTTTCATTCTAAACAATCTGTGTAAATCTAAACAAATTGTAGTGAAATTGAGGAATAAGTTATCTAATAAAAAGAAGTTGATCTTCGATTTATTAGCTCAAAACAAGTGAATGCTATTGGCAGATTTAGGAAAGAGTGGAGACTGAGGTCAACAAATAATAATAATAATCCCTACATTTGATACAGCATTTTTCACATCAGGAGGATGTCTTAAAGTGCTTCACAGGATATACTGTAAAGTGTAGGGACGATGTACTATGTGGGCAAACACGGCAGTCAATTCAGACACAGCAAAATCCAGCATGAAATGAATGACCGATTTTATTTGCGTGGGGCTTGTTGGTCAGGACATAGGGATATTCTCCCTTCACTTTTCAAATAGTGCCGTAAGCTCTTTGATGTCATGGCACTATTTGAACAAATGGGTGGGTAGGACTTGATGGAAGAAACTTTTTGACGCAATACATGTTGTCTAATTGCAATATTTCCTTGGTGGAGAATAACCGATTGAGTGTGATTAAACTGGAAATAATGCCTTAGGAGCAAGAATGTGTGTTTAATAATTTTTGCATTCTATTTTATCCTCTCTCTTTTCAGCCTCCCACACAGAACATGCCCATGGGATCAGGAGGAATGAATCAGAGTGGAGTGCCTCAGCTCCCTCATTCGCACACCATGTCCTCAGAGAGCATGGTAGGAGGAGGCGGAGTGCCTGGACCACACATGCAGAGCCAGATGAATGGGCAGATGCCTGGTGAGTTTCATCTGGTGGAACATTACATCAGCGTTGCTTGGTAACAGTAATGATCTTGTGTGGGGAGGGGGTCAGAAAGGGGCTTGTTTTGTTGATCACAGAGCTGCATTGAATCCTCCCAAGGAAACATTTCCTTGTGTTTTTTGAGTTGCAGATCCATTTGACCTGCATTTAGTGTTTTCTTATTTCGCCTCTGAACTTTGCATTGGCTCAGACAAAATATTTTCTGACACATGCTGCGATGGAACTGATCAAGACCAGTCTCTGGTTATATAATGGCTTAAAGCCTTTACGTAGTCTCTCACAAGGTTGGCTTCCTCATTTAAAAGATCATTCTAGGAAAGGTCACAAAAAAGTATTTCTGTCTATTTCATGGGATCATTTTTAAATTTAAGCTTACTCAAATAAATTAATAATCCTTGCATTTCACGTCAGGAGGATGTCTCCAAGTGCTTCTCAGGATTTACAGTAAAGTGTAGTGACTGTGTATTTTGTTGGCAAGTAAGACGAACAATTTGTGCATGGCAACATCCCACAAACAGCCATGAAGTCAAAAATCTGATTTATGTGGGGTGGGGGACAAAAGGAGAAACTCCCTTCTCTTTTCGAGTAGTACAATATTTAACATCCATCTGAACAGGCAGAAGGAGCCTGTGTTTGATGGCACCTCTGACTTTGAGCACACTGCCACAGCACTGCACTGGAGTGTCAGTTCAGAGTCTAATATGGAGCTTGGACCCACAACCATCTGACTCAAGAGATGAGTGGAGTCCTGTAGCGCACTAGTCTAGTAGGACCATTCAGGCTCATACTTGAGTAGCTGAAATTTATTCTAGCCATTGGCAGTATTGCCATATATAGTCGTGGATTGAAAATGACCAATTTATTTATTTTTGTTTGTTTTTGGAGGGATTATTATTAGGCGTAATATAGTATAATATTGAAAATGCTGGAGACCAGAAAAAAAGGAAATATTTGAAATCCACTTATCCAAAATGATCATTTTTGTTGGGTATTTATTGAAATGCTCTGGACTTCTAGCATTTCTGTTTTGAATTTGCTAATCACATTTGTGGAGTCCTGTAGCTCAGTGGTTAGAGCACTCGCTTTGCAAGCGAGAGACCTGAGTTCAATTCCAGGCAGAGGGCGAAACCTTGGGCAAGTTTCCTTACTCCACACAGAGCCTAATAATAATCCCTCCAAAACCAAAAACAATAATAAATTGGTCATTTTCAATCCACGACTGTTTGTGGGACATTGCTGTGCGCAATTGGCTGCTGCGTTCGCCTACAAATATACAGTCAATTCACTTTACAGTATATTCTGTGAAGCGCTTTGGGACGTCCTCCTGACGTGAAAAGCGCTATATCAAATGCAAGGATTATTATTCTGTGAAGCGCTTTGGGACGTCTAGAAGATGTGAAAAGTGCTATCTCAAATGCAATGATTATTATTATGAGAGTACTACGAGCTGTTTGCCATGACGGCTTTCGCCAGCTCCTCTGAACCAACCTAATTATTGATGTCAAATAATGTTTCTTTTCTTAAATTCTCAAATTATTATAATTTTAATGAAGTACATTTATTTTAATTATATTTAAATAATAAATGTATATGTTGTCATATTTTTACTATATTTAGTAAATATTCTTAATGCTAAAAATACAACATTGGGATAAATTATTATTGACTTCGACAACTGGTTTGGTAAATTGTGCGTGTGGAGGTGGGAATTTAATTTTAGTCATTACCTTGGGAACTTTTTATGCGACATGATGAGGCGTGACATCAAATGCAAGGATTATTATATTATTGTAAAGATTAAAGTTCAGGACAAACGGAGAAAAAACAGAATGGGCCAAAGAAAGGAGGGAAATTGAATCAAGAGCAAAAGCAACAAAAGCCAGGCTAGACCAGGCAAACCATATGAGGCGGTTAAGTGGATAAAACTTAAAATCAGATCTATATACATAAATGTCATTAGCAACTAAGATTAAATAAATAAAGTTAAATGCCTCTTCCACAGCGCCTATGGTCACCTCACCACCCCCCCACACTCTTTGCTCAGTGTATATGTGAAAGGTGCTATGTAAATGGTTGTTGTTTGTTGATGATAATTAATGATGAAATTGAATGCCCGGTAAACTACTGCTGTACTTGCAAACTGAGAGACTGCTGATCTTACTCAGTGTATTTAGTACCTGAGCTGCTGTTCAACCTGCAATACTCTTGTAGTAAGTAACATGTTAAACATGAATGATTTCACTGCATTTGTGTTTCAAAGCCATTTTGTATTGTGCTTTCTTCATTCCCCTCCTCTGGCTTTGCTCCCCAGGACCGAACCACATGCCAATGCAGGGGCCAGGCCAGCCAAACATGGTGAATGTTTCAGTGAACATGCCCACGAGTAGCCACGGTTCCATGGTTTATAACCACTCGATGCAGTCTTCGCAGGGCATGCCTGTACAAAACCAGTTGAACATGAACCAAGCACAGCCTATGGGTAACTATGGCCCCCGACCAAACATGAACATGCAGCCAAGCCAAGGTACTTAATAACAAGAGATTCTAACACAAAAATCTCTAAAGAGAGTGAACAATAATAGTTAGGGAGACTCTTCTATCGGGTGTATTTTTTTTGTTTCATGTGCTTGACTTATCTAGTCTCGCCCCCTCCCTCGCCACCTTCAAGACCCTTCTTCGACCGTGCTTTTGATCTTCCTGCTAACCCCACCCCCCACCCCGCCCTCCACCCTCCCCCATCCCGACCCTCAGCTTGGGTCCGTAACTCTGTCTCTCCAGCACCTTCGGACGTCCTCCCGACGTGAAAGGCGCTATATAAATGTAATTTTGTTGTTGTTTGTGGTGCTTTGTTGGGTTGAGATAAATGTAAGCTTGGTAGGTAGAAGCAGTGTTACTGAATGGGCAACTGTTCTGAATAGTAACACGGGCCTAAAATTGTGTTCATGTTGAGAAGCCTGTCCCCAAGTTAAGGGTAATGTGAATCACTGAGGGATTTTCAGTGTTTTAAAAGTGCTTTGTGCTTGAAGCCATTTCCTTGGCCTTGCCTTCAAAGCTCCCCTCCCCCCTCCCCCCACGGCTTGGTCCTTCCTATCTCTGTGACCTGCTAACGCCATATCAACTTGTTGGCTCCCTCCGCTCGTCAGGCTCCGGCCTGCTCCATGTCCCACCATCAGCGGTCGGGCCTTCAGCCTCTCTCCCTTTGAACTCCATCCCACAGTCCCTTCGCCTTGCTCCCTCCCTTGCCTCCTTCAAGCCACGTCTCAAGATCCTCCTCATAGACTGTGCCTTCGGCCACCCTCCTACTCCTACTTTCCCTGCCCTCTACCCTCCTGATCCCAATCCCCTATTCAAGTCCAAATCCCTGACTGTCCAGCATCTTGGACCATGCTCCTGACACGAAAGGCGCTATACACATGTAATTTGTTGTTGTTTGTGGTGCTTTGTTGGGTTGAGATAAATGTAAGCTTGGTAGGTAGAAGCAGTGTTATTGAATGGGCAACTGTTCTGAAGAGTAACACGGGCCTAAATCTTTATTTTATGTTCCTTTTGAGCAGGTCGGCAAGGATTCCAAAGTAATATTTGTTTGCACGCGGGTGTTTTATGTTGCAAATTCTTTGTGTGCTCAATTCTGACTTTGTACTGCCTCTCCCCTCCACCCCAACCAAGGATAAGTTTGGAAAAGAAAAAAATGTCCAGTGCATGCACTCAGATTTGCAAAAAAAACCACAAGATAACTCAAGATGCCCCTTGTTATATTCAACAAAGCTTCAGCTTGGACAGAGCACCCAGTTTTGTTCTCAGGCCGTAAATGCGAATATGTTCTGAATCCACAGCTGCAGCGCACGTTTACAGTTCTATTTTCAGTTGTTATGGGTTGACTTTGATGTGATGGTATTTCACTTAATGCAGCGGTAGATGGTAATGGTTTGCGGTGGGTGGGGATGGACGGGGGAGGGCAGGGAATGGAATGAAAGTGGAGACAGCTGCTGACTTGGTTTTGTTGCAGTAAAACATCAGTCCGGGTGCATGTCTGTATCCTGTTACACCTGGAGTCACATCCTGCACTGTTGAAGACATTAAATGGACTTTCTGGATTCTGAGCGTGTTAATGCATGCCCCTTGAATTTCGCTCTCCTTCGCTCCTGGAGTGTACCGAGCCCAAACAATTGAAGGCGAAGATACACGAGGCCTCTTTGTTTTGCTTTGTGGAGTCCTTCAAACGGAGATGTTTTCTTTACGGGCAACTTGTAGTTATCACCAGAACTTGCTGGACCACCTCAACAGCAAGTATGTCTTTCAGGTCCCATGATGCATCAACAGCCACCAGCATCACAGTACAACATGCCACAAGGAGCAGGTCAACATTATCAAAGCCAGCCTCCCATGGCAATGATGGGTCAGGTTAGCCAGGGGAATCATATGATTGGGCAAAGACAGATGCCACCATATAGGCCACCGCAGCAAGGTGAGTCCATTAAGGGAATACTATGTTGGGGATCATAACAATGTGATTTTTGACAGCTTGGCACACTTATGGGTGTATCATTGGGAATGTTTCACCAATCTGCAAAGAAATCATCAGCTTGCAGCACTCTTCTAATCTGCATTGGAAAGTTGCTGTTCAGAATTCTCACCATGATATGAACCATTGTGTTGAAAGAAGTTGCTGCTTTCTCCCCCCCCCCCCACCCCCACCCCCAGTAGCCACTTCAAATGCAATGAGATGAATTTGAGCTTGTACTTACCTTGCACAGTTTTTATTTTTTATTAAGCTGTTATTTTGGGGAATAGGTTGCAAGACTGAAGCAAGGCTGCTGACGAGAACATTCTCACTGCAGTTAATGCAGTTAGTCTTCCAATTAATGTCTCTCTTGTGCTTGGTGGATGGTTGCAAGCTCCTCAGATGTGGTGGTTTCATTGAAGCAAAGGTTGACATTTCTCCTCTTCTGGACTGGGTTCTATACACAGTTGACAGTTTTTAACAACGGTGTATGTTCTATTGTTGGCACTCAGATAACGGAGTCATTTCAGACCTCCAAGCACTTGGATAGCTAAAACCAACAGTACTTGAGGCTTCTCGAAATGATTTTGACAGCTTACCAGAGTGAAAGCTTATGTAGGTTTATTTAAAATGGACAGCCTTGTATGTGATTCCTTTTAATACAGTTGAAGCTTTTTTTTTGCTGGAACCACATAAATCCACACAAATAATTCATGCACACACATTAGTTTCTTTTTTTTTTTAAAGTTTCTTTTGGTATTTTATTTTGGGTCCACACGTGCCTGGTCAAAATCTGTATGTGCCTTTTTAGTATTGATGCAGCAATGTTCAAAGTGATGAAAATGTCTTTGTGTGTATATTGGGGTGGGGGTACCCGGAATAGACAAATTTAAATGAAAGTCGAGAAATGTTTAGGGTATTTTTTGTATTTGTTTTCTGATGCAGTTGTGTTCTCTCACCATTCACAAAATAGTACCCAGTAAAATGTTTCTGAAGTGTCTTTGTATTAGCCAGTTGTCTGTATTTGTTTATTCTATTAAGTGTAAAACAGCAAAGGCTACACTTAACGTGAGACTGTTGCTTTTTTAGGTCCTCCACAACAATATGCAGGGCAGGAAGATTACTACAGTGATCAGTACAGTCACGGACAGGGTCCCCCAGAAAGCATGAACCAGCAGTATTATTCTGATGGTAATACATGCCTTATAAAGCCTTTTGTTCTTTTTTTTTTTGCTGCACTCTGTTCGTACACGAAGTTAGCAATTTAACAGTCTGTGGTTACATTTTTTTTTCTGTTGCGTACTATTTTGTTAGGAAATTAGCAGCTGAAACACTGTTTAGGCTAGCGAGTGCTTGTTTTTTGTTTGGCGAGGGAACCAATCACTGCAAATGAATTCATGTGGAAAGAAAGGATGTTTAAGGTGCTGATAGAACTAACTCATAACTTGGCTTTTGCTTCTACGCTGTGGAACGAAATGTGAGCTGCCCTCGGACGAACTCTTCGGGAAAGTTAATGTGGCAGCTTTAGCCAGGGTCAATGTTAGGAGTCCTCTCTTGTGACAGGCATGATGTGACAAGACGTGATATGCAAAGCATTTGTAGGCAAATCGATTTGCTGAGAGCTCAGTGCTAGTATTGATGGCTGTCAGAGCAGCAAAATTAAGGCAATAAAAACATTTGCAAATGTGACCACATTGGTTTATATAACCACACATACACACATATAATATATACATATCCATATGTACTCAAACACATATATTTTATTGATGCATTTGCACACACACTCAATTTGTATCGCACCTGCTGTTGCCTGTTTGTACATTTATTTTTTTAATGAATCTTACGGTTAGAAGATCTCCTTTCCTCCCGTGCTCCCAACCGCCAGGACTTAAAGGATATAACTGCGGCATTTTCTGTTGCACAAGTTATATAGACGAGTCGAGTTTAGTCTCTGATGTCAACTGGGGTAGTGGTAGGGAGTCCTAACATTGGTTTCGGTGACTCGAGGGCTAGGGAAGGGGCCAGAGATATTTGGCATCATCAGTGTTCAATGACTTCTGGTGGACAATGCACATGTAGGAAATCCTTTGAGGGTGGAATCTGATCGGGCTGTAAAGTGTTCGCTGTTAAATCTCCTGCCCTCACTTGTAACCCAGGTGTACACCTGAATATGCCTTACTTGGGTACTGGAGGGCAGCAGGCAGCCATGGAATAATGAGAGACTTGATGGAAAAATGTATTTGGATTTTAGCCATCGTTCTTTTTATTAAAAAAAACACACAGAAAAGCTTAGTGTTGCTCCAGGACTGCAATGGTTAGCATTTGTTGTCTTCCTGGGCCAATCTCATCATGGGGCTTTCTCTTTCTACGGCTGATTTTCCCATTTTCTTTCTTTGTCATTGAAAAAATTACACTTCCAGTGTTTCGGATCTGAGCCATGTGACTTTGTCTTTGAATCTTAAGGCATTTTTTTGTCATGTGTGCTACATATCCTTCAGATGACATGTTAAACCGAGTTCACCTACAAACATTACAGTCAATATGCTTTACAGTATAATATGTTCTACCACATGTAAGGATTACTATTAATAATTATTATAATAGCGTTCCTTCGAGTACAAAGAGCATTGCTACAGGAATGTCTTTCTTCAAGGTCGATTGATAGGGCTGTTCTTGCTGGACTAATGACTGGCACAAGTTGCAAGGATACAGGACTCATTTAAAAATCAGCTTGATGCTGTGATGGGGAGGGGGTCCGTGGAGTTAGGGTGGGTATTCTTGAAGGATGAGATGGATGGACCAAAGGGTCTTCTTCATCCAAGCCAATCTTAGGCACACCATATTGTATGTTTGTATCATTGTTTGCTCTTCCACAAGTTGGAGAGAAGAGATTTGCTTTCACTTCATCTGGCTAGACTGGCTCCAAACTCCAATCACAAATAGTGCCCTAACCCAACACTCCGCCATCCAGCAATAGACTTTTCTCTTGGGAATATTTTTTTCAGTGGATCGAAAGCACTATCAGTAAATTGGCAGATTCAGAACCAATTAATATTCTGGTGCACAGTAAAAATGATTCACTCTTTCAAAACACAGGAACCATGTTAATTGCCATTAAGTGCTAGAAGCAGACACGCGTACTTGGCTCTGTCGCCCTAGTTACTGTACTTAATGATCTGAAAGTGTTGCTCAGAGGCAGTCTACGGTGGCTTCCCATTTCAGTGATTCATAAAAAAGACTCGGCTGCTGGCAGCCTTTTTCCTTTTGTCCTTCCTTCGTGCAATAATTCATGCATTTTTTTTCATGCATGCATTCATTGATTAATTTGATTCATTCGTGCATGCATTGATTCATGGCAAACTGCAATGAAATTTCATGTCCTCAGAGGGCTAATGGATAGGAAATGCACCAAGTTCACCAACAGCCAGATGTTTCAGACCATTTAAGGCAGGAATAAAGTTGTGACTAAGATCCCAGTTAAATATAATTAAGCAGAAAGCACATTCTCTTTCAGGGAGAGAGGTCTGCAATTTTTTTCCAAAAAGGTTTTCTTGACTCAGAGGGTAATCAATGCCAGGAACACATTGGCCAAGAAGGGTGGTTGAGACCAGGACCCTGGACTCATTTTAAAAAGCTTGAGGCTGTGGTGGGAAAATGGTAAGGTGGGTGTACTGAGAGGATGAGATCAATTGGGTTGAGGGGTCTTCTTCATCCAAACCAATTTTGTGATTTCTGGTCTCGTACAATCCTCTATTCACTATGTCTTGTGTGGGAATTTTCTTCTCCTGCAGAACTCCCTTCCCTAACTGAGCAGTGGTCTGTTTCCAGGCATCTGTTGGGCAAGTTTCCTTATTGAACATGGCTCTGTTTACCTAGCAGAAAGTAGGAACTCGGTTGTTAGTCGATTGACGAATCGCTTTTCCGGGGTTAATAATTCCTTCAAAAAAATAAAAATAATAATTTGGTTACTCAATCCACGACTGTTTGTGGGACACTGCTGTGTGCAACTGGCTGATGTGTTTCGCACACAAAATATATAATTAATTCACTTTACAGCATATTCTGTGAAGTGCTTTGAGACGTCTCGAAGACATGAAAAGGTGCTATATCAAAAGCAAAGATTATTAGTAGTAGCTAACTGTGCCACTCTTCCCAGGCTCTCAAACAAGAACTTGCACTTAAATTGGTGGCCGGGCTTTCAGCCTCTCTTCCCCCACACTCTGGAACTCCATCCCATGGCCCCTTTGCCTCGATTCCTCCCTTGCCTCCTTCAAGGCCGGTCTCAAGACTCTTTTCGATTGTGCCTTTGGTCGCCCTCCCACCTCTCTGCCTTCCCTCACCCCTACACCATCCCTCCCCTATGCTTGGGCCCTGACACCTAGTGTTCAGCGCTTTGAGACGTCCTCCCGACATGAAAGGCGCTCTATGGGTTGTTGCTATATTTCATAATATATAAACATAAATAACAAATTAAGAATAAATTCATTGTTTTTAACAACAACAACAAGATTCCATTTATAGAGCGCCTTTCACGTCGGGAGGACGTCCCAAGGCACTGTACAGTTGGGTCAGGATCCGAGCAGGAGGGAAATGGTCAGGGTGAGGGGAGGGAATGGAGGGAGCGAGGAGTGGGTAGAGAGTCGAGAGGGGAGCTGAAGGCACGGTCAAAGAGAACAATCCCCCAGATAAAATTAGTTTTAATTTTTTTAAAATTATATAAATATTATATTTATATAATATGTAAATATTATATTTATATAATATATAAATATTATATTTATATAATATATAAATATTATATTTATATAATATATAAATATTATATTTATATAATATATAAACATGCTTTTTTAATTATGAAGTTATAATTATTACGACCTAGAATTGCAGAGTAGCCCTGAGCCCATCAGTCAATATCTCTGTCGACTTATTATTAAAAAAAATAACACTGCAACAAACTGCTGTTTTATCCACCTTATAATCTTGTTGCAGCTGTTTTACTTCGTTCATTCAGTAGAAACTTTATATAGCATCTCAGAGTACTTAATTTCACCAGTATAAGATCAGAATTAAAAGGATAGTCTATTTAAATGAACATATGAAGTGACAAAAAAGGATGTGGGTAGTCTGTTCTCTTTCTCCCCCCTGTCCTCCCTGCCACCCCAACTCCTCTACCCACCCACTTGGGTGCCAAGTCAACAGTGTAAAGACATCTTCCTGGCGTGAAAGATTCTGTATAGTGGAGTCCTGTAGCTTAGTGGTTAGAGGACCAAGAGGACATGGGTTTGATTCTTGGCCATAGCGAAATCTTAGGCAAGTTTCCTTACTCCACACGCTTTTGTTTACCGAGCAGTAAGTAGGAACCCGGTTGTTAGTCGATTGTCAGATCACTTTTCCCAGAGTAATAATCTCTTAAAATTAATAATAATTTAGTCATTCAATTCTCGACTGTTTGCGGGACACTGCTGTGTGCAATTGGCTGCTGCGTTTCAACCACAAACTATCCAGTCACTGCACTTTACAGTATATATTCTGAAGTGCTTTGATATGTCTCAAAGGCTATATCAAATGCAACGATTATTATTTTTATGCAAGTCTAAATTGTATTTGAGGCTTTTTCCACCAGTCCGGACTGTGAGCTTTGTTCCACATGGTTAACTCCAATCACCACCTCGGTTCATGCTTTTGTTAACCTATCCCCTTCCTCCTGACATAAGAGTTTGGCATTCTGTTTTGTTTTCTTTGAATGATTCTGCATGTGCTCCACTTGGGGGCACTTGATACCACAAGATTGCCAGTCTTTTGTTCAAGCAGTCTGTGTCTGTGTGTGTCTCTAGCTCTCTCTCTCGCTCTCTCTCTCTCTCTCTCTCTCTCTCTCTCTCGAGCCACGGCTGTATCTGAGAATTTACAGTAGGATTTACTCTTGTTCGTAGACAATCCCATTTATTGGATAATGTGTACTGAACTCTCTCTCTCTCTTACTCTCTATCCCACTCCCTTTATTCCTCCCCCCCCGAGCGCCCATACAACGATGCCGATCGTTTTGAGGAGTCCTCCTCACGTGATAGACACTATATAGAGAGAACACTACATAGTGTATATTTTTTCTATGTCAAATGCAAGGATTAGTGTTGCTGTAACTGATGGGAAATAATAATTTTCATATAAAAATGTTAACATAATCCTCA